CGGTCCGGCACACTCCGACGTCTGCTAGACTTGACGTAAACTAAACTCAGTGTTTCTACTCACGGTCCCCCCTAGGTTGTCGGTCCGGCACACTCCGACGTCTGCTAGACTTGACGTAAACTAAACTCAATGTTTCTACTCACGGTCCCCCCTAGGTTGTCTCCCCCTCAGTAATAACATAATTACTGCTGGAGTCCGATGCCGTGTTTTGATTAGCAGAGATCTATTTAGACAATCTTCGCCTCAAGCAGACGGCACGAGTCGTATTTTCCAAAGCCAACATATTTGTAGCATCTGTAGCGGGCCGTGCTCGATCGCACTCGGTAAACAGTCTACCGGAATTGACTCGTTTTTTAACAGTGGGGTGGATTTGACTCTTAAAGATGTGTGGGTTGGTAGGTGTGTGTGTGAGGGGTTGGTAGGTGTGTGTGGTTTGGTAGGTGTGTGTGTGAGGTAGGGGTTGGTAGGTGTGTGTGTGAGAGAGGGGTTGGTAGGTGTTTGTGTTGGTAGGTGTGTGTAGGGAGGGGTCTGTACAAGGTGTGGGTTGTGTGAGTGTATGCCAGTAGGCGTGTCTATTTGGGTGTGGGTGTGTGATAGGAGTGGGTTGCCTCCCCCCCCCCCCCATCATTTCTAAAGTGTAAGCACGTGCACCGGACCATCGGCTTGTGACGTTTGTCTCGTCCATTCACCAAGACACGCCTACACAGACCCTCACGCCTTGTTCCACGCGTCCAGCAAGACCATCTTACGGTCGACTGTCACCATTGGTCAAGACCATCCTACGGTCGACTGTCCCCACTGGTCAAGACCATCCTACGGTCGACTGTCCCCACTGGTCAAGACCATCCTACGGTCGACTGTTCCCATTGGTCAAGTCCATCCTACGGTCGACTGTCCCCACTGGTCAAGTCCATCCTACGGTCGACTGTCCCCACTGGTCAAGTCCATCCTACGGTCGACTGTCCCCACTGGTCCATCCTACGGTCGACTGTCCCCACTGGTCCATCCTACGGTCGACTGTCCCCACTGGTCCATCCTACGGTCAACTGTCCCCACTGGTCCATCCTACGGTCGACTGTCCCCACCCACTCTTCAAGTATTGTCTTCCAATTTGACTTGGAGTAGCTGGGATGGCGAGAAGAATGTGTGTACCAAATGTGTGCGTTTAATTACATTAACTCCCCATAACCGCTTTTATTGTTGGAGCCGAGTTATCTCCCTTGGATGACCTGGCAACATCTCGCTCATAAATCTCGCGGCCTCACACAAATATCTGGCAACATCTCGCTCATAAATCTCGCGGCCTCACACAAATATCTGGCAACATCTCGCTCATAAATCTCGCGGCCTCACACAAATATCTGGCAACACGTGCTATCATGGCTCTCATCTGGTCGGACAGGGGACGGTTGCCACGGTAACCACACGATGGTTGCCATGGTAACCACATCGTGGTTGTCATGGTAACCACACTCACAGGAGATCGTTGCCACGGTAACCACACGATGGTTGCCATGGTAACCACATCGTGGTTGTCATGGTAACCACACTCACAGGAGATCGTTGCCACGGTAACCACATGATGGTTGCCACGGTAACCACAGCGGCGGGGTGTACTATGGTAACCACTGTAACCATTGACATGAATTTCACCAATAACCGCGGTGTTACAGGCTGTCAATATTTAAAGATTTATTTTTCTAGTTGTGCAAGCAGTTTCATATCTTAATCTGCTCAACTGTGACTTAAACAAAACAAAAATCTAGATTTGATTTTTGTAATGAAACGAAACAGCTGAAACAATTTTTGGAACCAGGTCAATCTAGTGAGGCTGGCGATGACCAACTAAGCTGTGATGTTCTTTGATCGATTTCCATCGTCCGATTGATTCCCATCGTCCGATTGATTTCCATCGTCCGATTGATTCCCATCGTCCGATTGATTTCCATCGTCCGATTGATTCCCATCGTCCGATTGATTCCCATCGTCCGATTGATTTCCCGGCCTAACCAATGAGCTTGACATCTGTTCTGTATCTTGTCCAGATTGCTATTAGCGCACTTCCGGTTAAGGATACCGGAAATTCCGGCCACATTTTTTTTTCTGGAGACAATTTGATGGCGGTCAAATGTTGGGAGGGGGGATGGGGTGGGGGCAGTGTGTGTAGGAGATGGGATGTGGGTGGGGGCAGTGTGTGTAGGAGATGGGATGTGGGTGGGGGCAGTGTGTGTAGGAGATGGGATGTGGGTGGGGGCAGTGTGTGTAGGAGATGGGATGTGGGTGGGGGCAGTGTGTGTAGGAGATGGGATGTGGGTGGGGGCAGTGTGTGTAGGAGATGGGATGTGGGTGGGGGCAGTGTGTGTAGGAGATGGGATGTGGGTGGGGGCAGTGTGTGTAGGAGATGGGATGTGGGTGGGGGCAGTGTGTGTAGGAGATGGGATGTGGGTGGGGGCAGTGTGTGTAGGAGATGGGATGTGGGTGGGGGCAGTGTGTGTAGGAGATGGGATGGGGTGGGGGCAGTGTGTGTAGGAGATGGGATGTGGGTGGGGGCAGTGTGTGTAGGCGATGGGATGTGGGTGGGGGCAGTGTGTGTAGGCGATGGGATGTGGGTGGGGGCAGTGTGTGTAGGAGATGGGATGTGGGTGGGGGCAGTGTGTGTAGGAGATGGGATGGGGTGGGGGCAGTGTGTGTAGGAGATGGGATGGGGTGGGGGCAGTGTGTGTAGGAGATGGGATGTGGGTGGGGGCAGTGTGTGTAGGAGATGGGATGTGGGTGGGGGCAGTGTGTAGGTAGATGGATGGGAGGGCTGAGTAGGATATGGGGAGAGGGGGGTGGAGAAGAGCTAGTAGCCAAAGCTATAAGCGACGTTGCACTTGTGTCGGCTGAGCACCTGTGTACTTCACCCAGCCTTTCAACAGTTAGCGAGATGCGATCTGAGGCAATACGTCATAGGTCAGATTTTTTGCCGCCATAATGACTGACTCCCTCTCAACGGCCGACGATATCAACAAATAGGTGCTCACACGTGCAGACGATCGTAGCAGAACCTGCGTCTGCCACATGTGGCAAAGTGGAGTCTGTCACTCACTGCACCAAAACTGGCGGAAAAACTTGTTACGTCACGTCATTACCACATGGTGCGCATATGACGTCACTTCATTACATCTTGAGCCCTATGACGTCACGCCATGACCACACATTGAACCCTATGACGTCACGCCATTACCACATATTGAGCCTATCAGATTATCTTCTCCTTGTTGTGTTTTCTGGCTCCTCAATCCCCCATCTCCGTCCCCGCCCCTCCCCCGGGCCCGCGAGAGATGAACCAACGGGCGGGTACTATGACAAACATACGAGTGGCATTTTCCTGTGCTGCGGTAACCTCCAGCAGACGTACATGACGCTCTCCCTGGGTTTACTTGCTATTGGTAGCACGCTGCGCCCTTTAGGCTTCGGCATCTTGCAGCGGTCCGCCTAAACACTGCGTGCTAGAAATATATAAATACACTTCTATTTATTAAAAAAAAACCGCGTGTCTCTAGTTCAGTTTTATCAATGACAACCTCCACAAATAAACCAAGAAATGTAATTATGTTTCTTGTCTTACCTTAGGCTAATTGCCAACTTCATTTTTCGCTGCCAACGTTTTCCTTGTTTTTCACAACTTAGAGAGGAGTCGTGAGGTATAATAAAGTCGTGAGGTATAATAAAAAGTCGTGAGGTATAATAAAAAAGTCGTGAGGTATAATAAAAAAAAGTCGTGAGGTATAATAAAAAAAGTCGTGAGGTATAATAAAAAGTCGTGAGGTATAATAAAAAAAAGTCGTGAGGTATAATAAAAAGTCGTGAGGTATAATAAAAAAAAGTCGTGAGGTATAATAAAAAAGTCGTGAGGTATAATAAAAAAGTCGTGAGGTATAATAAAAAAGTCGTGAGGTATAATAAAAAGTCGTGAGGTATAATAAAAAAGTCGTGAGGTATAATAAAAAAGTCGTGAGGTATAATAAAAAAGTCGTGAGGTATAATAAAAAAAAGTCGTGAGGTATAATAAAAAAGTCGTGAGGTATAATAAAAAAGTCGTGAGGTATAATAAAAAAAGTCGTGAGGTATAATAAAAAAAAGTCGTGAGGTATAATAAAAAAAGTCGTGAGGTATAATAAAAAGTCGTGAGGTATAATAAAAAAAGTCGTGAGGTATAATAAAAAAGTCGTGAGGTATAATAAAAAGTCGTGAGGTATAATAAAAAAAGTCGTGAGGTATAATAAAAAAAGTCGTGAGGTATAATAATTTGGCGGTGATCTTTAAAGCTGGCTAACTTGGTACTGGTGTTAGAATTTTATTCACAGCTCCGGGTTCTTCACGGCTCGTGAAGCTTGGTGATCCCATTCCCAGGGATCCCATTCCCAGTGATCCCATTCCCAGTGATCCCACCCCCAGTGATCCCATTCCCAGGGATCCAACGTTCCCGGCATTCTCCATCGTCTGCAGTCGCTCAGCGCCGGCTTTGAAGTGTGGCATGCATCTTGCAGCTGAAGATATTGTTTCACGTGCGCCCGCGTGCAAATCGCACCCTCCCATTGACATAATCAGCGCTTTGTGACGTCACTAGGGACTGCCCCAGAGGGGTCTGTAACCCACATGTGATTAGGGGGAGATTATACACGATTCGCCCAAAGACAGGGGTCGGTAGGGGTTATAGGATAAGATTGTTAGAAAGGTTTGGGCTAAAATTTGTCCAAAGAATTTCGTTGATTGCTAGCCCGACTCTAGACCTGCCTGTTACACACGAGTAGCCCTTCATCAAGGCACACCACTAACCGGTACCCACCACTGACCGGTGCCCGCCACTGACCGATGCCCCCACTGACCGATGCCCCCCCCCCACTGACCGGTGCCCCCCACTGACCGAAGCCCCCCACTGACCGATGCCCCCCACTGACCGATGCCCCCCACTGACCGATGCCCCCCACTGACCCATGTTCGTGTGTCCTCCCCAGGTGTGTGTTGAAAGAAAGCTGTGCCAACTCCGAGGACCCGACCCAGTCCCGTTGGCTCCATGGCAACGCTGCCCAGTGCATCAACATCGCAGTCGTCTCGCCTACAGCCGCCTCCGTCAGCTCGGCCAATCAGGTACGTGTGTCTGTTTGTGTGTCTGTTTGTGTGTCTGTGTGTCTGTGTGTGTGTCTGTTTGTGTGTCTGTTTGTTGGCCCTCACCTTCATGTCTTCCACACTTTGTTATTACACGTTTTACTTTGTTTCACACTTTGTTATAACTAGTTTTAATTTGTTTCACACTTTGTTATAACTAGTTTCAATTAGTTTCACACTTTGTTATTACAAGTTTTAATTTGTTTCACACTTTGTTATAACTACTTTCAATTAGTTTCACACTTTGTTATTACAAGTTTTAATTTGTGTCACACCGTTAATTTCTGTTGTTTTTTTTTCTATTGTTGTTTACTGATGCCCTTGCCCACCCACCCACGTGGCACACACGAGCAGAAAGCTACATCTCATCTTTTTTCCTGAGGAAATAAACGACAGAATAAACGTTAATGAAAAGAAAAATTGATTAATTAAAGAAGTTGGCAAAACCGCGCGGATAAAAACGTCTTTGGCGTGAAGCCTTAGGCCGGCAAAATTAATGAGCGATTCTTCTCGTGTTTCAAGGCTAGCCTCACTGCTGTGGTTTGCAACAGTTGGGTTAGCCGGCCCCACCGTCGTGTTTTTAACGTCGTCACATGCACGTGGAGACATCTGCTGACCACACACTGGTCGTCTACTAGCCGATGACGTCATTTCTAACTTAATTATCCTCCTACGCCCTGCTGATGAAATTTTTTTTCAATCGAGAATCTCATTTACAAAAAGTCGTGACAATTATAAATGCTTGTTTGTTTTAATTAATCTTTTTTTATTCAAATATTCTTGCGTAGGTTTTTTTTAAAACTCGATTTATTGGAAACAACGACAGAATGGACATAGCCACTGCCAGGGTGTGGGCCCAGCAACTTGTAACCAACTTTAACACCAACCTATGGCACTCTAGATCCAACTTTATTCATATGCCAACACCTCACACACTTCCCACGGACAACAAACTATTCTAAAAAACAAAACCTCCACCCAACTGACACCTATTAGTCTACTCTTTACGTTTTCATCATAGCCGAACAGAATATTCTAGAAATATTTCTTTGTGCCGACTCGCCCTAAAAGAGCACCGTTGGAGAATGTCGTTGTTTGCATGAGAAATGTGAGCGTCTTCAAATCTATATTCTCCGACCCAAACGTCCTTGTGACTGCAGAAACCCGCCAAAAGGCCGGCCATTTGACGCAGACGTCTGACTAAGACGATGTTTGTAAACTTCTGGGCGGTGTCCCGACTATTGACCCACCAGACGAGGAAAATTTTTTCAAACGTTTCATTTTCACGTCTGCTAAAGTTGTTGTTGTGTTGATAAGTTGCCGTGACGTGAAAAGATAATGACGTATGATTAACTTAGCGCGGGAGGACGGTTTTAGCGGGAAATGACAGAGTCGTACAGAGTTATTATAACTGCGACAAAATGGGATTTCATGGGTCAATTTAAAACCTGGAGCGGAGAGGCAGTGAACACGTCAGTTAGCACATGGATGTTGAGGTGCACGGGTCTAGAAATGTTTGAGTTGATCTACTAGTGGCCCACCAAATGTCCTACGTTCTCTCATTAGAATGTCAGATATCTGGGCTTATATTTCCAGTTTCAAATCTTGTTTGCTCTATATCTGTTTATAATCCAGCCAATTCTGTATTCAATAAAAATTAATACGATGTGGGAAAAAAAAAGAGAAAGCTAAATATGCACATATAAAACTTAAGACACCGAATTATTTTTTTTTAAACCAAGGGAAACAATTTAAGGATAAAGAAGGGAACTAACTCTAGCACGCTATTGCCTATTTTGTGCTCTGCTGAGCTTTTCAAATATTATTTTTGTGTTTGTTTTGTTTTTTTCTCCTGATGTTGAGAGCCGAGCATTTCATATTTGGGCCGACAGAAGCGGGTTATTTGATGCCCCAGTCTAGGGGAAGTAAGCAGGAAAACCTTAAAACATTTAGCATCAAAAGGGGGATAAATCTGGCAGCTTTGTATTTACGCCTCACATCTTTGATGCATTGTGCCACGCTTGGGCGTGGAGATGGCCCAGCTAAGAAAGTTAATTGGCCCTAAAACACATCTTGGCCAAATGCATGTGCCCGGCCATATGGAGGTCACAGTGTATGAAGGTCTGGCAGCTCAGAGACAGGACCAAATCGAGTTTACCCGGCACACGTCGGCACTCCTCGGCAAAAGTCGGCACAAGTCGGCACTCCTCGCCGGCCAATGCTCACACAACGTTTATGTCTTCTAGCTGCCAGTGGCTGCAGTTGTCTGCACTTGTTTGTTGTTATAGCAGGAGTTAGTTTTCCTTTTTTACGTGCATGTGCACAGACTCTAGTCGTTCTCTGCATGTGCACAGACTCTAGTCGTTCTCTGCATGTGCACAGACTCTAGTCGTTCTCTGCATGTGCACAGACTCTAGTCGTTCTCTGCATGTGCACAGACTCTAGTCGTTCTCAGCACTATACCACAGCTACAGAAGGAATTAACATTATAGTTTTTATGTATGCAAATATCACTATACACATGTGTATATATATATGTTTGTGTGTATGTATTCGTATGTATGTATATGTGTATATGTATATATGAAAAAAATAGAGAGAGAGAGAGAGACAAACAGACTGACAGACATATTGATACATATAATTATGTTGGTTTTTTACATGTAGACCTACATATATTTGTAAATTTCCATGCTGATGAGGTTAATTAAAGTGAGGTCAGCCCCCTAATGAATGCCCCCCCCCCTCTATCCCCAGCTACATCTGACCATCACCAACCTACCAACCAACTCCCTCTTCTCCTGCGTCTTCCTGGAGCTGGACTGGAGCACCCCAGCCTCCTTCTGGTACTTTGGCACCACGTGCAACACGCCAGACTTCACCCAAACTGGTCTCAGTCTGGGCACGGCTGGATTCAGGACAGTCACTCTAGCACTCAACTCTAGTGAGACAGGCAAGCTCTTCGTCACCAAAAGTTTCACTTTCTACAACTGTTCCAGTTTCCGCAGGTAAGAAACCCAGCACTCTACACTGTTGTCCTTCTTTTATTGGTTAGAGACTTCACAAGTCAAATGTTGAAGGCAACTAATGTTAACCTGCTACCCAATTAAAGCCCTATGATATAACCTGCCACCCCCCTAAAGCCCTATGATATATCTTCTTCTTCTTCGTTCTTAATTTTTTAATATGGTGGAGGATTCAGACAACTGAAACCTGCCACCCCGCTAAAACCCCGTGTTGTAACCTGCCACCCCCCTAAAGCCCTATGATATATAACCTGCCACCCCCCTAAAGCCCTATGATATATAACCTGCCAACCCCCTAAAGCCCTATGATATATAACCTGCCACCCCCCTAAAGCCCTATGATATATAACCTGCCACCCCCCTAAAGCCCTATGATATATAACCTGCCAACCCCCTAAAGCCCTATGATATATAACCTGCCACCCCCCTTAAGCCCAGTGTTGTAACCTGCCACCCCATGACCTGATGAATTGTCTCTTCCAGTTGCTCCAGCTGCACCAACTCCAGCTTTGAGTGTGACTGGTGTGTGTACGAGAACGCGTGCTTTGATGACACGCGCACCTGTCAGTCTGACATCATCAGGGGCAAGACGGTGAGTAGAAGTTTCTAGTTGGTTCCATGAGGTCAATCATTGGTTCCATGAGGTCAATCATTGGTTCCATGAGATCAATCATTGGTTACATACAGTAGCAATAATTAAACCCTTTAATTAAGTTAATGAAGATATTTTCAAATGTTCCAGAGTACCACAAGACCAGGTCGCCATGGTGCCCTTCACTGCCCTCAGATTGACACCAAGGTCACCAAAGATATTTATATCCCAGTGGGCGTGGAGAAGACGGTGATACTCAGGGGCTACAACATTCCGGAGCTGCGGGTAAGGATTCACTCGCCCACACGTTGGTTAGGGCTAGTCTTGTCTGAGTAAATGTTTGTCAGTACTTGAGCTTATTGATCCAAGTGCCTGCTGTTCTGTAGTAAATCTTGATGTTTGTGTTCTCCAGTCGAACATGATCAACCACAGCTACAAATGTATCATTGACACGGGGACAGAGCGCAAGATAACGCCAGCTAAAAGATACGACGACAAGAGCCTGTCATGTGACATACCTGCTGTAAGTCCCTGCTTTAGTTTTTTTTTTTTTTTACCTGCGGTTTATTTTACTTTGTTAGCTGTGTACAAACTTTGTTGCTTTGTTTAAAATTCTGTATTATGTACCAATCACCAGATGAATTATCCCGCCAATGTGGGAACATTTGAAGCCAATTTGTCTGTGTATTGGGGCAACAACTTCTGGCTAGAGAGTACATCCAAATTATTTGGTAGGTCACTTTCTGTTTGACATCACTTCCTGTTGTCTAAATATAGTAACAGATGCAGTGTTAAATACTATATTTACATTTTAAAATCAATATAAGCACCTGATGTATTTCTTGATTGAGACTAAAAGTTGACCTTTTGAACCCTACTGAACCCCTATTTTTTGTCTTGTAACCTGGATGTTATGTGACATTTTACTTGTATATCTAGTGACCCTGTACAAATGTGACATTTTACTTGTATGTCTAGTGACTCTGTACAAATGTGACATTTTACTTGTATGTCTAGTGACCCTGTACAAATGTGACATTTTACTTGTATGTCTAGTGACCCTGTACAAATGTGACATTTTACTTGTATGTCTAGTGACCCTGTACAAATGTGACATTTTACTTGTATGTCTAGCGACCCTGTACAAATGTGACATTTTACTTGTATGTCTAGTGACCCTGTACAAATGTGACATTTTACTTGTATATCTAGTGACCCTGTACAAATGTGACATTTTACTTGTATGTCTAGTGACCCTGTACAAATGTGACATTTTACTTGTATGTCTAATTACCCTGTACAAATGTGACATTTTACTTGTATGTGCCATTTTACTTGTATGTCTAGTGACCCTGTACAAATGTGACATTTTTTTGTATGTCTAGTGACCCTGTACAAATGTGACATTTTACTTGTATGTCTAGTGACCCTGTACAAATGTGACATTTTACTTGTATGTCTAATTACCCTGTACAAATGTGACATTTTACTTGTATGTCTAGTGACCCTGTACAAATGTGACATTTTACTTGTATGTCTAATTACCCTGTACAAATGTGACATTTTACTTGTATGTCTAATGACCCTGTACAAATGTGACATTTTACTTGTATGTATAGTGACCCTGTACAAATGTGACATTTTACTTGTATGTCTAGTGACCCTGTACAAATGTGACATTTTACTTGTATGTCTAGTGACCCTGTACAAATGTGACATTTTACTTGTATGTCTAGTGACCCTGTACAAATGTGACATTTTACTATGTCTAGTGACCCTGTACAAATGTGACATTTTACTTGTATGTCTGGTTACCCTGTACAAATGTGACATTTTACTTGTATGTCTAGTGACCCTGTACAAATGTGACATTTTACTATGTCTAGTGACCCTGTACAAATGTGACATTTTACTTGTATGTCTAGTGACCCTGTACAAATGTGACATTTTACTTGTATGTCTAGTGACCCTGTACAAATGTGACATTTTACTTGTATGTCTAGTGACCCTGTACAAATGTGACATTTTACTTGTATGTCTAGTGACCCTGTACAAATGTGACATTTTACTTGTATGTCTAATGACCCTGTATAAATGTGACATTTTACTTGTATGTCTAGTGACCCTCTACAAATGTGACATTTTACTTGCATGTCTAGTGACCCTGTACAAATGTGACATTTTACTTGTATGTCTAGTGACCCTGTACAAATGTGACATTTTACTTGTATGTCTAGTGACCCTGTACAAATGTGACATTTTACTTGTATGTCTAGTGACCCTGTACAAATGTGACATTTTACTTGTATGTCTAGTGACCCTGTACAAATGTGACATTTTACTTGTACGTCTAGTGACCCTGTACAAATGTGACATTTTACTTGTATGTCTAGTGACCCTGTACAAATGTGACATTTTACTTGTATGTCTAGTGACCCTGTACAAATGTGACATTTTACTTGTATGTCTAGTGACCCTGTACAAATGTGACATTTTACTTGTACGTCTAGTGACCCTGTACAAATGTGACATTTTACTTGTATGTCTAGTGACCCTGTACAAATGTGACATTTTACTTGTATGTCTAGTGACCCTGTACAAATGTGACATTTTACTTGTACGTCTAGTGACCCTGTACAAATGTGACATTTTACTTGTACGTCTAGTGACCCTGTACAAATGTGACATTTTACTTGTATATCTAGTGACCCTGTACAAATGTGACATTTTACTTGTATATCTAGTGACCCTGTACAAATGTGACATTTTACTTGTATATCTAGTGACCCTGTACAAATGTGACATTTTACTTGTACGTCTAGTGACCCTGTACAAATGTGACATTTTACTTGTACGTCTAGTGACCCTGTACAAATGTGACATTTTACTTGTATATCTAGTGACCCTGTACAAATGTGACATTTTACTTGTATATCTAGTGACCCTGTACAAATGTGACATTTTACTTGTATGTCTAGTGACCCTGTACAAATGTGACGTGCTGGCCTCTAATGAGTGCAGTATGTGTGTGAACCTCAACTACACACGGCCGTACCTGCAGTGCTACTGGTGCCAGAACTCCTGCACCTACTCCAGCTCCTGCAAGCAGCATGCCAGCATCACCTGCCCAGCTCCACACATTGAAGCTGTAAGTACTTCTGGTTGTGCCCATCTATTGCATAAATTGTCATTTGCCACAAAGGATTGGTTTCTCATGTGTTGGGGAAATCTTGATTTCTTGTTGCCTGTCCACAGGTGTGGGGATATCTTGATTTCTTGTTGCCTCTGTCCACAGGTCTGGCCATTGTCTGGGCCCATCCAAGGTGGCACCAACGTGACCATCTCTGGCACCAACCTGGGCACCAAGTTTGATGACATTGAGAAGGCCATCACGGTGGCCAATGTGGCCTGTATCCCCTTCAGAGAGCTTTATTCCCCGTCCAAGAAGTAAGTCATTTATAACTACATCACATCAGTCATTTATCACTGTCCATCACACCAGTCATTTATAACTACATCACACCAGTCATTTATCACTGTCCATCACATCAGTCATTTATCACTGTCCATCACATCAGTCATTTATCACTGTCCATAACATCAGTCATTTATCACTGTCCATCACATCAGTCATGTATCACTGTCCATCACATCAGTTTATACATAAGTAGTTTGTATCTTGACTGTCTGAATGTCAAAAATGTGACCACAAAATTTTTTTAAATTCTAGAATCGTCTGCATCACTGGCTGGAGGGGTCAAGTTGCAGAAGGACCAGTGGTCATCAAGCTGGACAGAAGTAGCAACCAGTTTCACACCAACTTCAAATACAAGGTTAGTTTTGAATAGATTAGATTTCAAGCCATCGTCCCATCAAATATTCAAATCTGACATAAATTCTAACAATCATTGAACAAATTTGACATAAATTCTAACATTGATTGAACAAATCTGACGTAAATTCTAACAATGATTGAACAAATCTGACGTAAATTCTAACAATGATTGAACAAATCTGAGGTAAATTCTAACAATGATTGAACAAATCTGACGTAAATTCTAACAATGATTGAACAAATCTGACGTAAATTCTAACAATGATTGAACAAATCTGACGTAAATTCTAACAATGATTGAACAAATCTGACGTAAATTCTAACAATGATTGAACAAATCTGACGTAAATTCTAACAATGATTGAAAAAATCTGACGTAAATTCTAACAATGATTGAACTTGTTACAGAGCCCCAGGATAGAGGACATTGAGCCAACAATGGGCCCAAAGTCTGGTGGCTCTAGACTGACCATCAAAGGTCGAGATATGGACACAGGCGGTCACTTTGAGGCCTCACTTGGGGATGTTCCCTGTATTGTAGACAGGTGAGTTTTTACTGTCAGGTCACTTGGGGATGTTCCCTGTATTGTAGACAGGTGAGTTTTTACTGTCAGGTCACTTGGGGATGTTCCCTGTATTGTGGACAGGTGGGTTTTTACTGGCAGTTTTCTCAGCTGGGGCATAGAATACTTCCTTTGTTCCCCTAACTACCCAGCTACATGGTTTGTCTAACCACCCAGCCACGAGGTTCCCCTAACCACCCAGCCACATGGTTTATCTAACCACCCAGCCACCTGTCTAACCACCGAGTTTCCCCCTCCCCCAGAGAGAAGATCACCAACTCAAGTCTGGAATGCATCACCTCAAAAGTCTGGCACCCCGACTACAAAACTCCCATCAAGGTGTACTTTGATGAGAAGGAGTACAGCCTCAACAGGAACTTTGTCTACAAGGAGGACCCAACCATCAACAGAATCGCACCATTGGCCAGCATTCTAGAGTATGTACTGGTTTCTTTCACACAGCACAATGTCTTCAGTTCATCGCTTAACTTAGTTTAATGATACAAACAATTTAAGTTGATTGAGTGTTGACCATTAGTTATATGATACAAACAAATTATTAAGTTGATTGTGTATTGAGTCTAATGCTGCCATGAACGTTAGAACCATCTAGAAGATTTCCCTAACAACTGTTGTTACTCTGACAGGGGCGGCCGGACGCTGACCGTGACAGGCACAGATTTCCTCACCGTCCAGCAGCCCAAAATGTTCGCCTACGTCCCCACCATCAACGGAGACTTCTACCCAACCAACAGCACTGTAAGTTTTTTATTCATTGTCATCTTACCAAAACAAAAAATGTGTGTCATTACCTGTGTGTTGTTTGGTGTAGTAAATAATTTCCTTATGCTTGTGATGTCCACCCACAGATCTGTAAGGTGATGAACGACAACGTGATGAAGTGCCCCACCCCCCCTCTGGTGGATTCACTCAAGAACATTATCCGCTCCAAGCGCAACGAGCAGGTGGAGAGGACAGTGTCCGTACCCCCGGTCAAAATTGTCCAGCTGGGATTCGTCATGGATGGTGTCATGGCAGTGCGCAACTTGTCGACAGTGCCAAGCTTGAAGTACCAGCTGGAGTACTTCACAAACCCCAGGATTTTCAACTTCACTGAGCCAAACGGGATCAAAACTTTGAAAGGAGACGCTCTTATTATTGAGGCAAGTATTTCAGTTGTTAACATTTTTTTAACTGTTTCATCCAGAATTCTAAAGTAATTTAATTTCTTTTTCTGAATATGAACCTACTGTTAGTGAGCTCATTGAATATAAGTTCAAAGTTTGTGTACTCATTGAATATAAGTTCACTGTTTGTGTGTTCATTGAATATAAACCCACTGTTCGTGTGTTCATTGAATATAAACCCACTGTTTGTGTACTCATTGAATATAAGTTCAAAGTTTGTGTGTTCATTGAATATAAACCCACTGTTTGTGTACTCATTGAATATAAGTTCAAAGTTTGTGTGTTCATTGAATATAAACCCACTGTTTGTGTACTCATTGAATATAAGTTCACTGTTTGTGTGTTCATTGAATATAAACCCACTGTTTGTGTACTCATTGAATATAAGTTCACTGTTTGTGTGTTCATTGAATATAAACCCACTGTTTGTGTACTCATTGAATATAAGTTCACTGTTTGTGTGTTCATTGAATATAAACCCACTGTTTGTGTGTTCATTGAATATAAACCCACTGTTCGTGTGTTCATTGAATATAAACCCACTGTTTGTGTACTCATTGAATATAAGTTCACTGTTTGTGTGTTCATTGAATATAAACCCACTGTTTGTGTGTTCATTGAATATAAACCCACTGTTTGTGTGTTCATTGAATATAAACCCACTGTTTGTGTGTTCATTGAATATAAACCCACTGTTTGTGTGTTCATTGAATATAAACCCACTGTTTGTGTGTTCATTGAATATAAACCCACTGTTTGTGTGTACACATAGAATATAAACCCACTGTTTGTGTGTTCAGGGTGCAGATTTGAACACTGCTGTGGAGAAGTACGAGGTGAGCGTGATGATAGGGAACTCACCCTGCAATGTGACCACCTTCTCCCAGTCTCAGATTGTCTGTAAACTCCCCTCCACCCAGCCGTCCAACTCAGCCTCAGGGGCGGGGGACAAGGACAGGAAAACATTGCCGTATGTCAAGGTCAGTCGGATAAAAACATCCACATTTTCTGTCAGGACAAGGTTCCAGCCATTCTATATTTAAAACTCAACTTACCCCAAAACTTGGACATCAGTAAGAAAAGTTTCCCCTCAACATTTTCCCTCAGGTGAAGATCAACAACCTGGAGTTCCACGTGGGGCGAGTGGAGTACGATGTTCCAGAGACTTTCACCTTCCCCACGGAGGCCATAGCTGGTATAGCAGCAGGGGGCGGCTTCCTGGTGCTGGTCATTGTCCTGATCCTCATCATCTACAGGCGCCAGAGCACCAAGGCTGAGAGGATCTACAGGAAGCTCCAGATACAGCTGGACAACCTGGAGAGCAACGTCCGCAACGAGTGCAAGCAAGGTGAGCCTGTCACACCTGACCAGGTTGTCACACCTTGTCACACCTGCCCAGGTTGTCACATGTCACACCTGCCCAGGTTGTCACATGTCACACCTGCCCAGGTTGTCACATGTCACACCTGCCAAGGTTGTCACATGTCACACCTGCCAAGGTTGTCACATGTCACACCTGCCCAGGTTGTCACATGTTGCTGTTATCTCTTACAATTATTCCCTGAACCCTGTATAAAGCCTGGCCAGTGTGAACTAAAAAACATTTTTTTAAATTCCAGCTTTTGCAGAGCTCCAGACTGACATGACTGACTTAACAGGTGACCTAATTTCCAGCGGCATTCCATTCTGGGACTTCCACAGCTACACGTTCAAGGTCCTGTTTCCTGGCATGACAGATCACATCATACTCCACCCTCCCATAGTAAGTGGCTACATTAGAAATGTAGGTTGTTGACACAGATTTCTTGATAAATTGGTGACTCTTCTATGTGGTGGTGACTCCTGTCTGTGGTGGTGACTCCTGTCTGTGGTGGTGACTCCTGTATATGTTGGTGACTCCTGTCTGTGGTGGTGACTCCTGTCTGTGGTGGTGACTCCTGTCTGTGGTGGTGACTCCTGTATATGTTGGTGACTCCTGTCTGTGGTGGTGACTCCTGTCTGTGGTGGTGACTCCTGTCTGTGGTGGTGACTCCTGTATGTGGTGGTGACTCCTGTCTGTGGTGGTGACTCCTGTCTGTGGTGGTGACTCCTATAAACGCCAATGTTTTGTTTCAGCAAAAGAATGGCAGGTTCCAGTTCTCCGACCACGGCCTGCAACTGTTTCACCAGCTGCTGGGCAAAAAACTTTTCATGGTGACCTTCATCAGAACACTGGAGGAGCAGAGGGCATTCAGCATTAGGGACAGGTCAGTTGATTAGAGGGCATTTAGGGCAGAGGGCATTTGGGACAGGTCAGTTGATTTTAGGGTCAGGTCACTTAATAAGGCTCATTTGAATTTTAAATCCATGTCCCTTAAAATGGCTATCCTAGTGTTTCACAAGACCAGCACATTTCATGTACATATTTAATGAATTTAATGGTTAATGAATCATCATTTCTGGTATAGCAAACAAATGTTAAATTGTTTTTTTCTAGAGCCAATGTGGCATCTCTGCTGATGATTGTTTACCTTAACAACATGGAGTATGCTACTGAGTAAGTCATTAGATATTTTGATATCACATATAGAAACCCATAAGATAAAGTATTAAGTTCACATCCAAACAATCACATTCTCTAAAGACGAGCAAGACGAAGTCTTACACTGACCCAACATGTTTGTTTTCTCCCAGTATCCTCAAGTGTCTGCTCGTTGATCTGGTTCACAAGTCTGTTGAAGGCAGACATCCCAAGCTGATGCTACGCAGGTGGGTCTTAACATCTTTCTTGTCAGAGTGGAGGGCTGGTTGATGCAGATGCAGCACTCTAGGTCATAAGACTTCAAGCTGTTTCACACAATAGAATGTCAGGCTGTTTCACACAGTAGAATGTCACGCTGTTTCACATAATAGACTGTCAAGCTGTTTCACACAATAGAATGTCAGGCTGTTTCACACAATAGAATGTCAGGCTGCTTTCCAATTCACTTTAATCAAGTTTGCTGACTCTACAAATTCATTTTTTTTCAGGTCAGAATCTGTTGTTGAGAAACTTTTGACCAACTGGCTCTCAATATGTTTGTACAAGTATCTCAGGGTGAGTACACAATTTTTCATCTCAGTCAAATTTCTCATGCCTATCTTCACACAAATTTTGCCCAGCTCTTACCTGCCATGTTCCCTTAAGCTGTTCCCTTACCTGCCATGTTCCCTAAAGCTGTTCCCTTGTCCTGCCCTTATCTGCCATGTTCCCTAAAGCTGTTCCCTTGTCCTGCCCTTACCTGCCATGTTCCCTAAAGCTGTTCCCTTACCTGCCATGTTCCCTTATCTGCCATGTTCCCTAAAGCTGTTCCCTTTACCTGACATGTTCCCTTAAGCTGTTCCCTTGTCCTGCCCTTATCTGCCATGTTCCCTAAAGCTGTTCCCTTACCTGCCATGTTCCCTTATCTGCCATGTTCCCTAAAGCTGTTCCCTTTACCTGACATGTTCCCTTAAGCTGTTCCCTTGTCCTGCCCTTACCTGCCATGTTCCCTAAAGCTGTTCCCTTGTGTGTGCAGGATCACGCAGGTGCCTCCCTGTTCATGCTGTACAAAGCCATCAAGCTGCAGGCTGAGAAGGGGCCTGTGGACGCTGTCACTGGGGACGCCAGGTACTCACTCTCAGAGGACACACTGCTGAGGGAGAAGATTGAGCCCAGGATTCTTGTGAGTCACTGTCTGCTGTCTGCACAATCATTTACACTGTCTCATGTCCACACAATCACCCCACTCTCATGCCCACAACAATCCACTCGATCACATAGCACTAACACTTCCACCAACTTCTAAAGATGACCTGATGATTCTTAAATATCCTCCTAACACTGGCACATGTTTGCTTTCAGACGCTGAATATTGAGAATGGAGGTGAGATTTTCCAGGTGCGTATCCCAGACTGTGACACCATCACACAGAGCAAGGAGAAGATCCTGGATCACATGTACAAAAATATTCCCTTCTCACAGCGGCCTCATGTCAGAGACCTTGAACTTGGTTAGTCCATTTGCATTTTTTGTAATTTATTTTTATTTATACATTTTTAGAATGGCGCTCTGGTCCAAGAATGGCGCAATGGTCCAATAAAATGTTCTAATATCACCTGTGTCTGTCAATGGTCCAATAAAATGTTCTAATATCACCTGTGTCTGTCAATGGTCCAATAAAATGTTCTAATATCACCTGTGTCTGTCAATGGTCCAATAAAATGTTCTAATATCACCTGTGTCTGTCAATGGTCCAATAAAATGTTCTAATATCACCTGTGACTGTCCACAGAATGGCGCAATGGTCCAATAAAATGTTCTAATATCACCTGTGTCTGTCAATGGTCCAATAAAATGTTCTAATATCACCTGTGACTGTCCACAGAATGGTGCAATGGTCCAATAAAATGTTCTAATATCACCTGTGTCTGTCCACAGAATGGCGCAATGGTCCAATAAAATGTTCTAATATCACCTGTGACTGTCAATGGTCCAATAAAATGTTCTAATATCACCTGTGACTGTCCACAGAATGGCGCAATGGTCCAATAAAATGTTCTAATATCACCTGTAACTGTCAATGGTCCAAAAAAATGTTCTAATATCACCTGTGACTGTCCACAGAATGGCGCAATGGTCCAATAAAATGTTCTAATATCACCTGTGACTGTCCACAGAATGGCGCAATGGTCCAATAAAATGTTCTAATATCACCTGTGTCTGTCCACAGAATGGCGCAATGGTCCAATAAAATGTTCTAATATCACCTGTGTCTGTCAATGGTCCAATAAAATGTTCTAATATCACCTGTGTCTGTCCACAGAATGGCGCAATGGTCCAATAAAATGTTCTAATATCACCTGTGTCTGTCCACAGAATGGCGCAATGGTCCAATAAAATGTTCTAATATCACCTGTGTCTGTCAATGGTCCAATAAAATGTTCTAATATCACCTGTGTCTGTCAATGGTCCAATAAAATGTTCTAATATCACCTGTGTCTGTCAATGGTCCAATAAAATGTTCTAATATCACCTGTGTCTGTCAATGGTCCAATAAAATGTTCTAATATCACCTGTGACTGTCCACAGAATGGCGCAATGGTCCAATAAAATGTTCTAATATCACCTGTGACTGTCAATGGTCCAATAAAATGTTCTAATATCACCTGTGACTGTCCACAGAATGGCGCAATGGTCCAATAAAATGTTCTAATATCACCTATGTCTGTCTACAGAATGGCGCAATGGTCCAATAAAATGTTCTAATATCACCTGTGACTGTCCACAGAATGGCGCAATGGTCCAATAAAATGTTCTAATATCACCTATGTCTGTCCACAGAATGGCGCAATGGTCCCACAGGTCCTCTGATGTTGACAGACATTGACATAGCCTCCCACAACAAAGATGGCTGGCGGAGACTTAACACATTGTCATTTTACCGTGTTCACGATGGTGCATACATGTCCCTGCTTCATAGACAGCAGACAGTCAAATGTATGAATGGTGAGTTGAATTGTTTAAAATGTTAAAACCACGCAGGTTGAAATTGATGCATATTTTGATAAGTACTTGACAGTTTCTATTACCTTTAAATTATCACCTCATTTACTGCCCCAAATTTTTTTATGCTGCCCTACCCCCACACCCAATGTGTCGCCAGTGTTTTATGTCACCATGCCCCCCACATACCCCCCATCATGACATCCATCTTCATGTTTCTGTAGGTTCCCTTGATAACTCGGTGCTTTCTATAGGTTCAGTCTCACCAATCCTCAAGAAAGATCAAGAGACGGGCTTTAAAGAATGGCATTTGGTGAGTCACCTGATCACAGTCTCTGGGGTTTTACCTGTAGTTTTACCTGTAGTTTTACCTGTAGCAGCACATTAAAAATACCTGTAGCATCATATTAAAAATACCTGTAGCATCACATTAAAAATACCTGTAGCATAACATAATTTTAGCTTAATTTTTTTATTTACAGGTGAAGCATGAGGATACGCTAATCAAAGATGGTGGCGTAAAAATGATTTCTGAGATATTCCTAACTAGATTACTTTCCACTAAGGTAAATTTAAATTGACTGAAAAATGCTATAGAGAAAATTAGAATTGTATATTTCAAGTTCAATATAAAAAAAACTACTTGGGTTAAAGGTCTGCAACATGTATTAATATTTTGATGACTGTTATGTTGAATGTTTTGATGACTTTGTTGTGTTGAATGTTTTGATGACTTTGTTATGTTGAATGTTTTGATGACTTTATGTTGAATGTTTTGATGACTTTATGTTGAATGTTTTGATGACTTTGTTATGTTGAATGTTTTGATGACTTTGTTATATTGAATGTTTTGATGACTTATGTTGAATGTTTTGATCAGGGTACACTCCAGAAGTATGTGGATGATTTCTTCAAGAACATGCTGTGTGCCACGCCTTACGTGCCGCCTGTCATCAAATATTTGTTCGACTTCCTCGACAGTCAAGCTGATGCCCATGACATCACGGACTACGAGGTGGTCCACACCTGGAAGTGCAATAGGTGCGCATCTAATCCAGAGACTTATTTAGTGAAATAACGCAGCTCATACAGGAGTTAATTAGTGAAATAATTACTCATTTAGTTCAGCACTTCATTAGTGAAATAACACATCTAATCCAGGACTTCATTAGTGAAATAATAACTCATCTAGTACAGCACTTAATTAGTGAAATAAGAATGCATGGAGCACTTAATTAGCTGCTTATTAATGAGCTGCTCCACCATCAGTTAGAGATAATTAATTGCCATTGTTTCCCAGCTTACCCCTGAGGTTCTGGGTGAACATCATCAAGAACCCAGACTTTGTCTTTGACATCAACAAGCCTCGAATTGTCGACTCTTGCCTTAGTGTTGTCGCACAGACCTTCATGGACAGCTGCTCCACCTCGGAGCATCGGCTAGGGAAGGTCAGTCTCACTGGGTCATATAACCCAATATAACAACATATAACCCCAGACTCATCAATACAGTACAACACAATAGAATAGCTTAAAATATTTACTGTAGACTTGATTTTAAATGAACTAAACCAACACAATAGACGAGCTTAAAATATTTACTGTAAACTTGATTGTAAATGAACTAAACCAACACAATAGACGAGCTTAAAATATTTAAACTTGATTGTAAATGAACTAAACCAACACAATAGATGAGCTTAAAATATTTAAACTTGATTGTAAATGAACTAAACCAACACAATAGACGAGCTTAAAATATTTAAACTTGATTGTAAACGAACTAAACCTTTTTGTTACAGGATTCTCCGTCCAACAAACTGCTGTTTGCCAAAGACATTGTCCATTATCGCAAGCTTGTGGAAAAATATTTCACGGACATTCGTGAGCAGCCGCCCATGAGTGACCAGGAAATGAATGCATTCCTTGCAGACATCTCACGGGTATGTGCACATTTTGTTTGTGGCTATCTTCTCTGGGGTTTATCTCATATGTTTACTTCCCGTCTTTGACATAGCATTTAGCATATAGTTGGATTTCTGCAATGGGATTTATTTCATGTTTATTTCCTATCTTTGACATATAACTGACTGTAAATCTTACAATTTCAGACAAGTCCGAAGTTATTCTACATTTCCAGTGCTTTAGGAGAGCTGTACAAATATGTCTCCAAATACAAAAATGAGGTGAGTTTTGATCCAGCTCTGTTTGCAAGGGCTTTTTTTAAAAATCCTAAATCATTAGTGGTAAATTAAAAACTTACCTCTTACTATTAAATTTGTGTAGACTAGGCCCCAGTGTCATTAATTGTTCTAGGATAAAATAAAAATATAAACTTTTTCATTTAAAGCTTGGGTTCTAAATCCAAGTTTATAAGTTATATTATAAATCTTGCCATAAAAACTGAGGTTATAAATCTTGCCTTTGTCCAGCTGATGGAAGCTCTTGACCAAGACAACCAGGCCAGCGCCCAGCAGCTCTCTTGCAAACTTGGCCACATTGTCTCCTGTATGGAAGGGCCATCAGGCAACATGGCCTATGTCTGATAGTCTCATTACCTGGCAACATGTTCCATGTGACAATCTCCTCTACAAGAAACAAAATGCCTTCATTCAACTCTTCAAATGGACGTCAAAGCATAACGGACTTTGTCCAAAACCATGGAACTAGTTTCAACATTTCTGTGTTTCTTGCAACCTATGTGTGTGATTGTACACAACCTACTAGTACACAACATATGTGTGTACTTGTACATACCAGAGCTCTGTAAGGAACTGTGGGAGGGTACACACAACTTGGTGAATACTCTTGTACAAATGTTTGGAAGTACTCAACTACATTCTGTGATAAACATGTGATCAGCCATGCGCCGCAACTGTTGACCACCAAGAACCCCAACAGTTTAATCTAGAATTTTCCAACAATTATTGATGGATGTCCAATTAACAAAACTGTACTCAATCTAAATGTTTTACACCCAAGTTTCTGTGCTTCAAACTTGAATGACCTGTACAAAATTCAGTTGAAACTGTGGACGTTCAGTACTAGCCAGTTACTGACCACTGGAGTAGAAAGCTTGGGACAAACTTTTTGTATGTCATTGGCTGATGGTGCTCACCAGACAACTTCATGACGGATATAATGACTGTAAATACTCTTCTGCTGAAACCAGATTCATGAGGAGATAATTCGTGCTTTACTGGCTTATTATCTGTAATACTGGAGTTATCTTTCCTTACAGATTTATCATAGTGACTTTATAGGCTGGCCAAAGTGTGTTGAAGAGACCTTGCCCTAAAGAGATAATGTAGTTTATTTCAACCTATAACTCTTGCAGCAAGGCAGATATAAACAATGTGCTGAATAGGTACTTGTTCATTGCTCACTTGTTTATGATGTAACCATAGAAACAAGGCTGTTTGATTAGCATATATAAGCATTACCATAGGCTTTGGTATTAAAACTATTTGGATTATATTTTGCATTTGATTTGATATTAATTTTAAATCTGATGTTAGTTTTATTGGTGCTTTATTTTACTAAGCATTAATTTTATCTTTTATAATTTTATCTAATAATTTTATCTTTTATGTTGAGTGCATCTACATGGCAGTGTCAGAAATGTTTTCACCAAGCTTGGCAAGCAATCCTAACATTTTAAACTTTGTTTTTGATATTGACTGAAGTAATCAAATGGAAACAAAGCCCATTCTAGTCTTTCAAAACTATCTGGCCACAAATACCCACATTTATCTGGCCACCTCCAGTTTCATGTCCAGATGAGTCAGTTGTTGCTTCATTTATTTTTCCCATTGCTTGGTCATTGTCATAGTGAGATCCCACTAGCATCAAAACACATCACATTGTTACTCACTCGTCATTAAGCCATCCTTGCACAACAGGCCATCAACATGGTAGTTTCATGAACAAAGTGCTTCCATTTTGTTAAACAATAAACTCATTAGGAATATTCCAATACAGCTTGTATAGATTCAAGAAGAAAGATAAATTGTCTTGTACATATTGGGAGCTTCTCATTCTTTTATCCACATGTCTTGAGACTTCACCCCCATCCCTCAAGTGCACCTTGAATAAAACATTTAATTTCTGTGCAATTTTTTTTTCTCCATCCTTGGACTGGTTCCTTCACCACCTGGCCCCCCCACCTCACCAGCTGACCCCCAACTCACCACCGTGCTACTGTGTAGAGAACATTCCATATTGACATTCACTATGCAACTAAGACAGGTTCCATGAGAAGCACAGGCAGGCCCCAGTGGCTGTTGAATAGAGTAGTACATGAGGTTTTTTTGCTAGCTGCCAGTGGTAGTTGACAGCCTCTACCAGTGGTAGTTGACTCTACTGCCTCTACCAGTGGTAGTTGACAGCCTCTACCAGTGGTAGTTGACTCTACTGCCTCTACCAGTGGTAGTTGACTGCCTCTACCAGTGGTAGTTGACAGCCTCTACCAGTGGTAGTTGACTCTACTGCCTCTACCAGTGGTAGTTGACAGCTTCTACCAGTGGTAGTTGACAGCCTCTACCAGTGGTAGTTGACAGCCTCTACCAGTGGTAGTTGACAGCCTCTACCAGTGGTAGTTGACTCTGCTGATGGTAGATCCCTTTCTTTAAGTGCTGCTATGTCTGAGTTTATTCAGTGACATTTTGATTTGTAGTCCAACCAGAGAGCTGTTATTTGTGTCCATTCTTATTTGCAATACGTGTACGTTTGTGACCATTGCTTCCATTGTCTCCACCTTGCATATCCAGGTGTGTATGTTTTCATGTCAACATACAGGTAAAATGAAAACAAATGGTGTATTTTCTAGATAGAGTCTGTGTGTGTATGATAAAGAATGCTAGTGACATCACTGTATTTAGTCCCCAGTCTTAGTGTGTGTGTGTGTGTATGAGAAAGAATGCTAGTGACATCACTGTATTTAGTCCCCAGTCTAGTGTGTGTGTGTGTGTATGAGAAAGAATGCTAGTGACATCACTGTATTTAGTCCCCAGTCTAGTGTGTGTGTGTATGAGAAAGAATGCTAGTGACATCACTGTATTTAGTCCCCAGTCTAGTGTGTGTGTGTATGAGAAAGAATGCTAGTGACATCACTGTATTTAGTCCCCAGTCTAGTGTGTGTGTGTGTGTATGAGAAAGAATGCTAGTGACATCACTGTATTTAGTCCCCAGTCTAGTGTGTGTGTGTGTGTATGAGAAAGAATGCTAGTGACATCACTGTATTTAGTCCCCAGTCTAGTGTGTGTGTGTGTGTATGAGAAAGAATGCTAGTGACATCACTGTATTTAGTCCCCAGTCTAGTGTGTGTGTGTGTATGAGAAAGAATGCTAGTGACATCACTGTATTTAGTCCCCAGTCTAGTGTGTGTGTGTGTGTATGAGAAAGAATGCTAGTGACATCACTGTATTTAGTCCCCAGTCTAGTGTGTGTGTGTGTGTATGAGAAAGAATGCTAGTGACATCACTGTATTTAGTCCCCAGTCTAGTGTGTGTGTGTGTGTGTGTGTATGAGAAAGAATGCTAGTGACATCACTGTATTTAGTCCCCAGTCTAGTGTGTGTGTGTGTGTGTGTATGAGAAAGAATGCTAGTGACATCACTGTATTTAATCCCCAGTCTAGTGTGTGTGTGTGTGTATGAGAAAGAATGCTAGTGACATCCCCAGTCTTAGTGTGTGTGTGTGTGTGTGTGTAACGTGGGAGAGGGTGGAAACAAGTTATATGCTGTACATAGACAATCCCCCCCTTGATTATTTATTGGCTTGTGTACAGATACTTCCTGTTTATAAAATTGTTACTGATCCTGTAAAATACATGTGATGTGTGTTGAAGAGGCTAGCCAATGGATGTGTGCGAATGAGGATACGCGTGTGCTGATGAGGCTAGCCAATGTTTAACAGCATTTGTCGTGGACCTGAATGGACTGAATCAAAACATCTGGTGACATTGTAAATCAGTTTATTTACAGCTTACCCTGACAATGCTGATATGACAGTGACACATGATGACAACATGACATTGGCAAGCTTGTAATTCAGATTATGTAAAAAAAAAAAATCTTCACCGTACCGATTTGTGTTTTACAAAGAGTAGTTGTAAATTTTAAAAGTTTTTAGTATAACAATAGTTAAACAATAGCTGACATTTCACATTTGGAATGCATAAAATATATCACAGCCTCAAATTGTAAAACAAGGTATGGACACAATTTTTCTAGGTGTAAAAATGTTAATTTTGTTTACAAATATCTTAAAACTGTCATGGTATACAAATACTCTCTAACTGCATGTACACAAACTAACTTTATGGCACATATGGTTACTGTAATGCAGTGTATAGTCTAAGATAATTTATGACAATTATTCTCATCAGTTTTTTAAAGATAAAAACAATGATCATCTTATGGTTTGAGCATGTATGTATATTATGATGTTTGCTGATAATATTGTGTTTATGATTTCACAAATATGAATAAATACAATTTATTAATAATCAAATTCTGAGTTTTAAAACCTTTATAACACAATGCATACCTTAGCTTGATACTAGTCCGAGGCATAGCAAAGGGGGGATGCGGACCACGCTGAGTGACACCATTTAGGGGGGTGACACCAAGGAAAAATTAGAAAAATAAATGTAGAAAAAAGATCATTCCAGTTAAATAAATGATTAATTAGTGTTCAATACTCTTTCAAGGAGCAAAATATTAATCCATTGTAAATTAATTAAGAGACAAAAATGAATGACAAAAACCATAAAAAGCAAGCAACAGATAATAAAACTGGTTTGCTTGCCACATTGACATGTTTTCATCAAGAGTTGCCAAATGTTTTGATACATCATATTTGAATTATAATAATTTGATTATAAATTAAGTATACACATGTGCGCACTTCTCTCTCTCTCCCTATCCGCAAGTTTTTTTAGGCGATGTGATCAGTATGTTCAGCAACATATGGAGAACTTAAAGATACGAACTTTTGTTAAAAATGATATGGTGGATGTTATAAATGTATTAACTAAATTTTATTTAATAAAAGGAAAATGAAAATAAAGGCATATTCTAATGTAGAAAGAGAATTTTAACTATACAACCGGAAAAGCGTTTATTGTGAAAAGAATGCAATAAGCAATGACCTCACATGCCACATGTAAAACTACGGAAAGAACACAAAACTAATGGTGTCATCTTCCAATTTTAGAATATAAACAAATGAACTATTTCATTCAGTTTTGGTTTAGATCTTTAGATCTATTTATCGGGACATACGCTATGAAATGTATACAATATTCTCGGCCAAAAGTAATACAAATCACTTTAAAAAACAACAGAAATACCATTGAACAACCGGTAGGTATTGGTAGCCTATGTTATTTTATTTGTGCGGACTTTAGCTATTTAGTTATTTCTTTGCTTGTCACTAATATAAATGTGTAGTAAAGCACATTGAGTTTTGACCAATAACTATTTTATAAAATATTTTTCTCAAACATTTTTAACATTAGTTCTATAATTCAAGTGTAACGGGTACCGACGGCTAGTAATAAATAAAGAGCTTCTAGCAGATTCAAATGTTGTAAAAAAAATATTTTGTCGGAATGTTACTCATTTTTCCATACATTAAAAAAAAAAGGACAAAGTTCAGCCCTAAAGTGCGTAGCTTCAAAAAATCCAGAAAAAAAATATATTTAAATATACACATGTATATTACAAGTGTATATGGCATAAATATATTTTTTCTTCTTACTTTCTCTTTGAGAGGGGGGGGTGACACAATTAGGTGCAGCAATAGGTGCCACCCAAACTGGCAACGCCACTGTTACTAGTAGTGTAAAAAAATTCCTGTCGTGTCATCAATAATTTTGTCTATCAACCAATAATTTAGACAAACTTATTGGCTAACCAATAATTTTGTCTATCAACCAATAATTAAGACAAACTTATTGGCTGACAGACTATCAACCAATAACTTTGTCGACCTACCCAGTGTTAAAAATGTCACAGCTGATAACATGAAAGGTTTGACTCATCTCTTGAATACCACTGGTCAGTCCTAGATTTGATGTCCTTCAATGGTCAGTCCTGGATTTGATGTCCTCCAATTAATGGTCAGTCCTGGACCAACCAGCTACTCTCAGTTTCAGGACAAAAAGCCACAACATCAACCATGCCATTTGTACACAAAACAACAGCTGTACAACACCCAGAAAACACAGAACAGACTTAGCTACAGAAAACACAGGACAGACTTAGCTACAGAAAACACAGGACAGACTTAGCTACAGAAAACACAGGACAGACTTAGCTACAGAAAACACAGGACAGACTTAGCTACAGAAAACACAGGACAGACTTAGATACAGAAAACACAGGACAGACTTAGCTACAGAAAACACAGGACAGACTTAGCTACAGAAAACACAGGACAGACTTAGCTACAGAAAACACAGGACAGACTTAGCTACAGAAAACACAGGACAGACTTAGCTACAGAAAACACAGCTGGTCTTGGAAGGTGTGTTCACATTTGTCTCTATTGCAATGTCCACAATGGATTTTTTATCCACGACTTCATACTCTGAGGGTGTATAGAACTTGGGAGAGTTGCCTAGTATCACATCAATCAGGTATCTGTAATCAATGATACATTTAGTTATTCATTTTTCTTCATTATATACTTTAAATATATTTGCAAAAATCTATCGTATTGTTTATAGTAGTTAGTAGTCTGTTAATCAATGCTATTTTATAAGAAGCTAGTTGCATTGAAATATGTGCACACAATCTAATTAAAGCTAATACTGCCTGAGTGATGACATAACTCAAACAAAAGGCAAGATTTTGAACTTTACTGGAAATTTTTAGACATTTTTCTGAAATTTTTAGACATTTTTTTCTAACACTTATAGTCAATAGAAAATACCCAAACTGGAGCTTCTTTCATACAGGTTTTATTCAAATCTGAATAAGCTATTAGGATGAGCAAAGGGTTTTCAATGCTATCATTGAATCAAGAGGAGTTAATTTGGATGAAATATTGGATCATTTTGTCATTCCACATTGTTTCCATGAAATTTCAACTTTAGGAATGATACTACCCCCACCCTCCTTTCCCCAAACCCCTACCCTACACCCTAAAGCTAGTGTCATTTTTAGTTTTAAATCCTTATTTTTATAACGGACACTAATTTCAACTTTGTGTTGAGTTATCATATGCCTAATTCAGTAATTAGTGACACAGTCCACATCATATTAGCTCAATTTACAAATTTTTTTACTAATTTAAAAAGGTTTATTTATCAATTTGAAGCTACTCTTTAAGTAGTTTAATTTTAAATTTTCAATTCTAAATTATTAAAATTCTATGATAAAAAAATTTTTTTGTTAAATTTGGTGACCTTATTTCTACAAAATGAAGGAACATGTATTGATACCGCTAATATTGTGCCTAATTTGTGAGATATTTTTCATAGTCTGCTTAACTGATAAACCTAAAATAAATATGATAGTTAGAAATTTGAATAAATAATGAAGATAATTCCACTAAATACAGAGGTAGTCTCAATGTTTTATTATTTCAAGTAATTTTTTGAAAACTCAGCGTTTAAACTCAATATCAGATTCACAAAAACAAATAAAAAGTTGAAATAAAAATGATAGAGCAATAACGGTCAATAACCACTGTTAATAAGGAGGGCATATATAACTTGAATCATAATCGCCTTCCATTGTTTTATAAACTTCTTCTTTCTTCTTCTTCGTTCTTAATTATTAGTGTTTGGAGGGGATCGAGATTTATCTGCCAGTGGGTTTGAAATCGAGACTTTGTTCGATTTATCAACCATGAGCTTTTTGCCGACTCGACCACACCTCCAACACAATTAAGCGTTACGTGTCAACTGGTTTATGCGCCATTGAGGCCATTGACTCCGATTTCAGCCTGCTTTTTCTTCCATAGCCTTTGTCCAACCAAGAACAAACTACAAGGCAGCAGTTGTTTAATTTTGGAGTTGTCTCTCCTAGAAGAGTGGCTGTCCCCAGCCAACGAGCCTCATCTGCAATGCAAAGTCTAAATCTGAATTAGATTTTTGTTTACAAAAGGTTTGGAGCCTGTGACGTCATATTTTATTTGCTTGTGCAACTAGCTAATAAAATGAGATATATATACAAATAGATATTTTAAATTTATATTTAGTATTCTTGTGAAAAATCATGGAAATATTTCATAGAAGGGGAATAAGTAAACTATAAATATTGATTAGTTTCCCTTTATTTTTCTGCCCAATTCACTAGCAAGTCCAATAATTGTTTAAACTTTCTGTTTTCTAATAGCCCTGATGTCACCAATATGTCAGCAATGAACTAAATAAAATACATACTGTACAGTCTCTTGAAGCATCAATCCTGTTTTTACAGATGTTTCAGTCCACTGCACAAAATTTAATTCATTACACATATCCTCAATCTCAGGGTAGCTAATTCTTCTCTCCTCTTTTAAATCAGCCTACAGAAGTATATCAAATAACTTACAGGAATAATTCTATTAGTCTACAGGAATAATCTTATAATTCATTATTAATAAATCAATTAAACTATGTGGAATAATTAAATCAGTCTGCAGAAATAATTCAGTCTAAATAAAAATTAATTTAACCTATAGAGTATTTGAATGATTCAATTAGTCAACCGGAATAATTTAATTAACTGCAGAATTAATAAAATCAACCTACACTCATATAGAAATTATATTAAACATTCAGATATAAAATTAATTAAAGCAAACAATGGAAATAAAATTAAAGTAATCAAATTAGCCTCCAGAAACACTAAAGTCAAAATAACACCAAGGAAAAACTATTATACCAGACTAGATAACTCAAATCAAATAATAAAATGGGCGTAAAAAATTCAACAAATTAAATGTCTTACAACAGTAGTTGCCTTACTTGGGTGCTACAGATGAAGGAAAGATTTAGCACATAAATGACCTTACTGGGGTGTAAGAAATGTTACTGTGATGGCAAGTAACATGTGAGACATTCAACAGTAATGGAATGTGATGTCTAAGGTGCTTGCGCATGTAACATGTGAGACATTCAACAGTAATGGAATGTGATGTCTAAGGTGCTTGCGCATGTAACATGCGAGACATTCAACAGTAATGGAATGTCTAAGATTATAGGTCATGACTGACCTTGTTGGCTACAAGAATACATGGGACTTCTGAATCAGCGTCACAGTTGGACTCAATGCATGACTTCCACCTCTTGACGTTGTTAAAGCTGGCGACGTCCGTCAGGTCAAATACAATCAGACAGCCACGAGCGTACCTGTAGTAGGACCTGGTCAGCAGGGGAAACCTGTCTTGGCCTGGAGGATTGCAATAAACAATTCTGTCAACAGAGGAATGTGATGGAGAAAATACAATCTGTCAAAGATGTTTTACTTGTAATGGCAGAGTGGGTGGCTAAAGTAAAGACAAGCCTGTGTTTGTGTTTTTCTTTTTGTACTGTGTCCAGATGTGTTAGCTGAATTGGTATTTTCATTCATTATATCTTTTGTAAATAAATTGCCATTGGTTGCTCATTGGGTGTCAGTGTTTGTGTCAGTGGTTCTGATATTTTTCTTGTTACATGACCACCTGTCAGTGTTTGTGTCAGTGGTTCTGATATTTTTCTTGTTACATGACCACCAGAAGTCTAAAGGACCAATGCACTCAAACATTCTTAGTGCCCGTTATGGTATTCAACAACAGTATCAACAGGTACAAAGTATACACAATATTGTACAAAATAAGCTTGTGGTAAAAAAATTAAAAAAATTGGATTTTCCACCTGACTGTAAGGTAAGAGTATACATAAATTTACCTGTAATGCCCTATTGAGCATACATACATAAACTCACCAGCAATATCCCAGAACTGCAATTTGACATGTTTCCCCTCATGTGTTTTTATTCTTTTTATAGCAAAATCAACTGAAAAATAAATGAGTATTTCAGGAGAAATCAAACAAACATGCAGGACAGATAACCACTGTTTACTAATTTTTTAACAGCAACATATTTTTATCAATAGGTTAATAGTAACCAATTTGGTTACACCCTTTTATATTTACTAAATGACACAGGTTATATTAAGAAATTAAAAACCCAATCTCTTTCAGCCAAAAACTAGAGCAACTAAACACAAACCAACTAATCTCTTTCAGCCAAAAACTAGAGCAACTAAACACAAACCAACTAATCTCTTTCAGCCAAAAACTAGAGCAACTAAACACAAACCAACTAATCTCTTTCAGCCAAAAACTAGAGCAACTAAACACAAACCAACTAATCTCTTTCAGCCAAAAACTAGAGCAACTAAACACAAACCAACTAATCTCTTTCAGCCAAAAACTAGAGCAACTAAACACAAACCAACTAAAAAACTTTTTACCACCAAGAGTAGGTTTGTAGTAGTCATTAAACTTTTCATGGATATATCTGTCAATAAATGACGACTTCCCAGTTCCAGAGTCCCCGATTATCAGTATCTGAAACATAACAAAATATTAGGACAGATTATCAGAAACATAACAAAATATTAGGACAGATTATCAGAAACATAACAAATTATTAGGACAGATTATCTGAAACATAACAAAATATTAGGACAGATTATCTGAAACATAACAAAATATTAGGACAGATTATCAGTATCTGAAACATAAAATATTAGGACAGATTATCTGTATCTGAAACATAACAAAATATTAGGACAGATTATCTGAAACATAACAAAATATTAGGACAGATTATCTGAAACATAACAAAATATTAGGACAGATTATCAGTATCTGAAACATAAAATATTAGGACAGATTATCTGTATCTGAAACATAACAAAATATTAGGACAGATTATCTGAAACATAACAAAATATTAGGACAGATTATCTGAAACATAAAAAAATATTAGGACAGATTTTCAGTATCTGAAACATAAAATATTAGGACAGATTATCAGTATCTGAAACATAAAATATTAGGACAGATTATCTGTATCTGAAACATAACAAAATATTAGGACAGATTATCTGAAACATAACAAAATATTAGGACAGATTATCTGAAACATAACAAAATATTAGGACAGATTATCTGTATCTGAAACATAATATATTAGGACAAATTATCTGTATCTGAAAAATAACAAAATATTAGAACAGATTATCAGTATCTGAAACAAAATATTAGGACAGATTATCTGAAACATAACAAAATATTAGGACAGATTATCAGATTCTGAAACATAACAAAATATTAGGACAGATTATCTGAAACATAAAATATTAGGACAGATTATCAGTTTCTGAAAAATAACAAAATATTAGGACAGATTGTCAGTATCTGAAAGAATGAAGCAACTTACTTTAATGACTTCCTCCTCAAGGTTGTCTAGGCAGTTCATGTCATACTCTGAGGATAGTAGCATTTATTTTGTTATATATTCCTTTAACACAACATTACTACATTTATATTGAAAAATAGAATATCATGCTTAAATTGATGTATTAATTTAAAATAGTATAAGTACACTTACATTGATCCCAATTATTCTTATGTAATTGTCATCTCTCTGTAGAATAAAGCTGAGGTTAATTACACGCTTACATAGAGAGTATTTTTTACTTAATGGCATCAGCTGGGTTTTATTCTTAAAGGCCTAATCAGTAGGATAACCAGCATAGGGCTGATAGACTGAGTCATCAAGAACATTTCCTAGTCAAACCCTGTCCCCAACCTAACCTTAACCCTTAGCTAAACCCTAAATTTAACTGTACCAGTGTTTCATAGGAGGGGGGGGGGAAGACAGATGGACACTGGTAAAAGTATCCATTTTCTATATAATTTCTACCCCCCCCACCAAAGAGATGCCTGAAAGAAACACTAAACTTTACCCCTTATAAAAGCAAAGATTTCTGCTGCAAACAAACATGATGCCATGCTGTTGGGTGTTAGCACCAATCATTAAACAAATTTTTAAAAAAACTTTATTAAATGCACTGAAAATAAGAAAATAAAGCAAACTTGCTTTCTTTAAAAAAGCACTGGTGGCTAAAATCTCATGAGATTTCAAGATTGACCAATGCTTTTATTTAGTCTGGCACACCCACCATCACCCCAGGCTCTCCCTTGAGCACTATGGTGCTTACAATACATCTAATTTAAAGAGCAGCCTACAATTGGGATATTGTGGGTCACTATATCTGATGAGTAAATTGAACCAAGGACACACCCAGGGCTCCTGAGGTAGTGTAACCGGTGGTTCACAAGAATGCCAGCATTGCCTCTGGACCACTGGGCAGTTAGAGGTGTGTTCTTCCTCATTATTACAGAGGGTGATTAACATACCCTTAAGGTGTTCATGCAGCACACCTAGGGGTGTCTGGGCTGAGGACAAACCTTTGCTGCAACAACTAAGATCCTATATAGCGCAGGCACTGTTTACACCTAAATAATTCAGTTTTAGAAAAATACCCACATGCTCATGAAACTCTTAGAAAATGTTTTGTCAATTTAGTGTGAAGGACTAGAATCTAGATCCCAGCCACATGCAAATGAGTACACTGTGCACTAAAAAAGTAAAAGTAAAGTTCCCTGACGGTCTATAGGGCAAGTGAAGTAGAGTTCACTTGTTTCTGTGACCTCGGCATATGAAGAGATAGTGTGGTCAGCACTATGCCCAGCCGCCTTTACTTTCCCTAACGTGAGTTAGGTACCCATCAGAGTTGGGTGGACTCAGGGACAGTCTACTGAATTGAACCCGGATTCAAACTCGAGACTTACACGGGTTAGCAGTCCAGCTCTCTACCACTAGACCACTCAGTCCCATACACTGTGCACTAGTACTAATATATATATATTACTTAGTAGGCTTATATCTAAATATGTCATAAATCATATTTATATATGGCCTATAAATATTAAATAATGTTAGGCCTACATATTACATATTAAATAAAGATGTTAAATATTTCTAAATGACTAAAAAAACTATTTTAAAAAGGCCTAATAGATAACTCTGGCTTCTTTGCGTAGTCTAGCACTATTTTTGATACGAGATACATATAGATTCTAGTATATATATATATTATTAATTTAATAATTTTTATTTTATTTTCACTTACTTTTTTAAAATGTTGATTGCAGATCTTAGTACTAGACTAGTGATCAGGATAAAAAAAATAACACTAGGCCCTAATAATACATCAATTTTTTTTATTTATCTAAAATTAACTTGTGATTGGCAAAACAAGTTTTAAAAGTGTGGTTGAAAGATAAATTAGATCTAGATATCTATCTAGATCTCTAGATCTAGTTGGCTAACTTTAACTTTAAACTAAACTAAAATCTAGTTTCTAGATCTAGCATTCTAGTTAAAGAGTAGGCCTATATAAAAATATATTACACAGTATATAGATCTAGTATATAAGTATTAAGTCTAGATCTAGGTCTCTTTGACTCCTAGACTACTAAAAAAAATCCTGTAGAAGTGGAGTGAAGAAGCACAACTGAATGGAAAAACACTGCTGTCACAGCTTTGTCATTGATTTCTACACTACTGACTGCAGTGTGTTAGTCTGTGTCAAACACTCCAGTGGTTGTTCAGTGCCTGGTAGAGTGGTAGACTTAGACTCTAACTTAGAAGTTAGACTAGTCTTGATTCTAGACTAGATCTAGATCTAGATCTGGTTTCAGTTGATCAAGTTGATGGTTGTGGTGTTGTTATACAGTATACTCAGTATACACAGTATTACACAGTAAACAAACAGTAAATAGATCGAGTAACAGTGTAATAGAAATAGTTAGATCATAGATAGATCTAGATCTAGATCTAGATCTAGATCTAGTAAATTATGAATGACAATCGTCAATCAACTAATTTAATAATTTTGAATCATTGATTTGATGATCATTAATGACTAGGCTAGTGTGTTTAAAAGCTACGACTAGATTTTACTGTAGACTAGCCAGAGAATCTAGACTAGAAATATTTTTTTTTATTTAAAAGTGCACAATGGTCAATGATCAAGAATTCTGTAAACAAGAGCAGACAGTAAACATCCATTTGACTAGAAAATGTTATTGTTAAGAAATCATCCAAGCAGAAGTGTACGAATTAACGGATTTACCCGCAAAAACCGAAATAGCTACACATCTAATGGACGGTACCAGGAAGTGAGAAGTCTGGCAGATGCAGTACTAATTTAATAATTAAATGACGTGTATAAAAGTTGTTTTAAATGACGAGTGACAAAACAAAGCACTACCTCAACCTGAGTTTCTTCCAGGCATCTCTTCGGGGTTGGGGGGTGGGGGCTAACGATCGAAGTAGAATGTATCTAGAAAACATACTTTTACCAGTGTCTACCCCTCCTCCCCCCCCCCCCGGCAAGTGCCCCCGGAGAAAAAAGTCTGGAAGAAACACCGTCCTCAACACACAGTTTCGAAACTTGTTGAATAAAAACGAGAAAAGAATAGCAGCATATTAAAATAACCAATCTAGAACACCAGCAAAGTCTCTGCACATTGATGCATGTAGGCAATGTCTACGAATCATACCTACATGTAGTTTCTTTCAGGCATTTCTTTTCTGACCCCCTCCCCCCCACACACAATAAAATTTTGAATGCCTCTCATCCCCTTACCTTATGAGATGAACGTCTGACAGACACGTATCAAATCCGGGTATATTGGCATGCTACGATAGATCCTGATATATTGGCAAGGTACAATAGATCCTGGTATATTATAGGCACTCTAAGGGTTTGATCAAAATAGTGTAAAATTCGGGTCTTTGTGGGTGAGGGGAGGGGAGGAGAAAGGCACTACACATCCACCACTCGCCCCCCCCCCCACCCCGGACTAAAATTTCCGGGGGGGGGGGGGGCGGACACTATTAAAAGTATATATTTTTTATATAAATTTCATTTCGTTCGGGGGGGGGGGGGGGCGGTAGACTTTCTTCAAGGGGGGGGGGGGATGGTTCCGATGCATGGAAGAAACTGTGTGCACATTGTTATTGTAAGTATTCCTCCATCTCGTCATGGGTCCTGTAAGTGCCGCGGTGGTCTGTGAACTCTGACCAGAAGCTGAGGGTTCAGTCCCTTGTCCAAGATGATTGCTCCCAGGTGTTTAAAAAGTTTCACAATACATGTAGCGAGGGGGGGGGGTGCGGACCGCACCGGGTGACACCATTTAGGCGGGTGACACCAAGGCAAAAAAATAGCAAAATATATAGAGAAAAACTTGAGGGGGGTGCAAATCGAAAGTTCGAGGGGGGGGGGGGGGGTGCCAATCGAAAGTTTGAGGGGGTTGCAAATCGAAAATTTGAGGGGGGGGGGGTGCAAATCGAAAATTTGAAAGTTTGTCCCCGTGAAGGGTCGCTACGACTCTGGGGGGGGGGGGGGGTGACACCATTAAGTGCCGCAACGGGTTACACCCGACCTCGCTACGCCGCTGCATGTATGAAGTTGTCGCTCTCCGTATTGATTGAGAATACGTTGTTAGTCTGTCATTAAGTGAGTTTGTTCAGTATTGAATGATGTCTATGTGGACTATAAGGCTAGCCAACGCTCACGATTCACCAGATATGTTTCTAACAATGAGCTGGTTTAAAGTTATTTAGTTAGTTCAGTATGTTGGATAAACAGATTTAGGTCTTTCAATAAGTTAACATTAAGGGCTCAGTTAGATTGTCTTTTTCCAAGTCTATAGAATGGACTAAATCTTTAACTTCAATTTCTTCACACTTTTAATAAGAGGATATTATTTATTTTGTATAAGGGGACATAATAAAGGTATGATGATATTGTCGTAAATATTAATCGATTAGCTTCCCTTTGTACGATAATCTAAGCACAAATAAAAATCATTAAAGTTCAAAACAATTGACAATAATTTTTGAAAATGCAGTAAACAAGTTTTAAATTTAAAAAAAAAATACAACCATATGACGAACCTTTCTGTTAGTTCTGATTGGCATACAGGGGGCGTTATTCTAGACGGTAATTTGGTAGTGGAAACCCTATGTACAGAGTAACTGCTGGATATTGTCCCCAGTTATAACACTTTCCTAATTACCCCCACCCTCGTCAGAAAATCGGGATCCCTCCTCCCTGGCAAAGACCTCATAAGGATATAATAATTTTTCAACTAATTATCTTGTTTTAAGAAAACTTACATTGTATTAGAAATGTATTGCATTCATTTACACAAAATGTTATATATTGGCATATATTACTAGCTGTATCCCGTGCTCCGCCACGGTAAATCATTTTTAAATATACCAACTTTGGAACAGAACAAAACTAAACACAACACAAACGAACGAACGCAAAAAAAAAAAACGAAAAAACGAACACAACACTCATAACATAAACACAATTTAAATGCAATCATAAAGGCATATTGCTCACAGTCTAGCCCGTAGCGCCAAATCGCGCCCTTTCCGAGTCCCGGCGGACGCGTCTGACACAGTGAATGACTACAAAACAGAGGTGTTGCGACCCTTTCCGGCGCCCGGGGACAAACTTTCGATTTGACCCTCCCTCAAACTTACGATTTGCACCCCCTCCCCTCAAAATTTCAATTTCCACCCCACCCCCTTAAACTTTTGATTTGCATTCCCTTCAGACTTTCGATTTGCACCACTTTTGATTTGAAATTTCCCCCGCTCAAACTTTTGATTTGCACCCCCTAAAACTTTCGATTCGCACCCTACCCCCCCTCCCTAAAACTTTCGATTTCCAACCCCCCCCCCCCCCTAGCTACGCCTCTCTTATAAAACCCCAGCTTGTCCGCAAACCGAAAGATAAAATAATAATAAATAATATACAATAAAAAATAGGCAATATTTAAAATATCAGTGTTTACCTACCATATATCACTTTATCAATTCACGCATTTTTTCCCAGTATTTTAATTTTAAAAATTTTCAATTGAGTTTCATAACTAAAACCATTGCGCACCCAATGTCTATAATGGTGCGGAATAGTTGATTAAAAATTAGAAGTAGTGAATAAAATAAATAAAAGATTGCCTTTTATCAATCCATGCTAATTATAATTTTCTAACAATCCGCATCCGCACAATTTGCATTCACATTTTGCTAATTATATTATTGCAACACTAATTCCTTCTAAGAGGTCCGTAGATTTGCATTCACATTTTTTTATTAGCGTGAGTTTAATTTATTTTTAAATTACCTCCCTTGTCAAAAAAAGAGTTAAATTAATTTGATTTTTCTAGCCTACTGTTATTACGTTATTAAAATGTTTCCACCTTTCTAAGGCATAAAAAAGAAAACAATATTTGACATTGATCCTTTTAATATGTTTTAGCAATGTGCGTGTATTTAATATTCTCTTTACGTTATGCAAAATTGTACAAACAGTGGAAATTATAAAATAGCTCTATGCCACTATATAAACAAACCCTACTCTAATACTTATAATAAGACACTGCGGTGCACTGAAAAGCACAGCATGGTGCGTAGCTTACTTTTATAGTCCCAAAATCTATAGCGATGACGGACGGAAGGACACGCTCAGCCCGATTATATTATAGATTAGGCTATAATTATTATTTATATTTGTTGTCTAGATCAAGGTTTCTTTCAAACATTTTTTTCTTTGGGGGGAGCACACTTGGAGCTTTGGTAGGGTTGCCAGGTGTCCAGTTTTGAATTGGACAGTCCAGTTATTGAGCAGACTGTCCAGGATAAAATAAATATAAATACTGGACAAGTATATGAATAATACTCTGTTACCCCCCTTCTTCTGCTTTGCGGCATACCTGAGAAGGGAAGGATGGAAAGGTGTCCAGTATTTTCGGAAAAGGTATCTGGCAACCCTAAGCTTTATATAGACATAAAAATGTCTGTAACAGCTTTTTTAAATAGATTTGCAACTTTGTCAACAAATTTGGATTACATTGAGAGCCTTAGCTTGAATAACTTTATATAATTTGATAAATTAGAAACACAAGTTTTGATACAAATAGAATTTTATTAAACTTCTGCTGTAAAGAGCTGTGGTTGCAGCAGGACCAATGAAGATTATTATAGAAAGCTTCTGGCAGGTCCATAAGATGGAAAGTAGGTCACATGGCAATAGGTTGAGAAGGAGAAGACAACATTGATCAGGTTTAAACAAGCTTCTAGGGCAAGAAAAATCCACCAATTTCTTTCTTCCTGCTAAAACCATTTCTGGTTTGGTTGACATGCCTGCGTCCTAGAAGAAATGTCAAAGGCCATGTTAAAAAACAAAACTCCATAGAGAAATCATGAGTTAGCTACACAATACACTGCATAATTATAATAATTAAGGCTATCATTGGGGGCTACACTTTTACAGAAACTTGAAATACTGAGAAGGCTGAACCTAACATTACTTTTAACAAAAAATATCATTGGAGTTTTTATAAGCAAGATTGATTACATTTTTGAAGTGTAAATCTTGTATAAGATTAAAATTATGAATCTATTTTTAAAGCACATGAGCAAGGATAACATGTCAATGCAATACAATTTAATCTAAACATGTAGTGATTAAAAAAATTGTACTAAGTTGTATAGTCATATAAAATATAATAAAATGATAGAAATCAAATGTATTTATACACAAATACAGTTATATTCAAACTTTTAGCAGTAGAAAGTATAATACAGTTAAACATGGCAACAGTAGTATAAATTATAAGACAAATTTAGCAGATTACTATATTCCCAATGAACCAAAAATAATGCTTAACTTTTTTTAATGCATTCAAAATGTTTGTATATTGTTACATCAACTTATTATTTCAAGTCCAAACAAATTTTAGTTATCTTTTTAACATTAATTATCCATCAACTCCAAATCTTAAATTTGTACACAAAACAAAGAATTAGATCCAAATTAAGAACAGAAAAATCCCCCATCAGGTTTCCGTGAATATCCTTTGTTGGTTGTCTCAATATGGTGGCTCTCTGTTTTGTTATTTGGAAATAATTAAAAACAGTAATTAAAAATTGAAACAAAAAATTAACAAACATAAATATTCAAAAGAAAGCAAGAGAAAAAAAACTACAAATTTTGATTAAACTTTTTAATATATTGAAAATAGTTGTAGTTTTAGACTAAAATCTGTAAGTACTTAAAAACAACTATGATAAGTAAATAAGTGGGCATTTTTTTTTTTTTGTCAAAAATTAAACAAAAACCATTCAACAAAACAACTGGAATTTTAAAATTGTAAAGCAAGTTTAGTTTACCACCTCACCATGAGCTGCAATCTTTAGGCTGTTGCTAAAAAAGCAAAGTATAGAAAATATCTCACCAATTGCATTCTTGACACTGTTGATGTTTTCTTTCTTCTCCTGACTGGTGATGATTAGTGGATGATTAAGTGGCAACTTCTTTTCTGGTAAAGCTTTGATTCTGTTTTTCAAAACACGCCTAGAAGATTTTTGCAAGAAAAATTAGTCACTGACTGAAATGATGCAGCTATTCAATCTATGTGAACAACCAGTTTAATATTATCTCGACTAAAACAAATTTCACAAAGACAACAACATACACTGAGACTCAGGTAGAAGGCTATAGAATAATACAACTAAAACAAATTTCACAAAGACAACAACATACACTGAGACACAGGTAGAAGGCTATAGAATAATACAACTAAAACAAATTTCACAAAGACAACAACATACACTGAGACTCAGGTAGAAGGCTATAGAATAATACAACTAAAACAAATTTCACAAAGACAACAACATACACTGAGACTCAGGTAGAAGGCTATAGAATAATACAACTAAAACAAATTTCACAAAGACAACAACATACACTGAGACTCAGGTAGAAGACTATAGAATAATACAACTAAAACAAATTTCACAAAGACAACAACATACACTGAGATCAGGTAGAAGGCTATAGAATAATACAACTAAAACAAATTTCACAAAGACAACAACATACACTGAGACTCAGGTAGAAGACTATAGAATAATACAACTAAAACAAATTTCACAAAGACAACAACATACATTGAGAAGCAGGTAGAAGGCTATAGAATAATACAACTAAAACAAATTTCACAAAGACAACAACATACACTGAGACTCAGGTAGAAGGCTATAGAATAATACAACTAAAACAAATTTCACAAAGACAACAACATACACTGAGACTCAGGTAGAAGACTATAGAATAATACAACTAAAACAAATTTCACAAAGACAACAACATACACTGAGAAGCAGGTAGAAGGCTATAGAATAATACAACTAAAACAAATTTCACAAAGACAACAACATACACTGAGACTCAGGTAGAAGGCTATAGAATAATACAACTAAAACAAATTTCACAAAGACAACAACATACACTGAGACTCAGGTAGAAGGCTATAGAATAATACAACTAAAACAAATTTCACAAAGACAACAACATACACTGAGACTCAGGTAGAAGGCTATAGAATAATACAACTAAAACAAATTTCACAAAGACAACAACATACACTGAGACTCAGGTAGAAGGCTATAGAATAATACAAACTTGATGCACTTAAACATAGTTATACTGGGTGTGTACATAAAAGGGAATGGTAGACACAGTGGCGTAGCAAGGTCGGGTGTCACTCGGTGCGGCACTTAATGGTGTCACCCCCCCAGAGGCATAGAGACCCTTCCCAGGGACAAACTTTCAAACTTTCGATTTGCACCCCCCCCCAAGTTTTCGATTTGCACCCCCCCCCCCCAAACTTTCAATTTGCACCCCCCCCCCCCTCGAGTTTTTCTCTATATATTTTGCTATTTTTTGCCTTGGTGTCACCCCCCTAAATGGTGTCACCCGGTGCGGTCCGCACCCCCGCCCCCCCCCCCCCCTCGCTACGCCCCTGGGTAGACATATGATATATGGCTAGGTGCTTTATCCTCAGAGTATGTATCCTGCACATATTATGTAATGTGGTAGGGTTAGTGGGTTGTTAATTAATGTTATATAGGGAATACCAGGATTATAGTGAGGAATTTTATGATGGCACCTTGTAGTTTTTTATTTAATTAAATTTTATAATTGTGAATTATTTTGCTTTTAGACTAGGGGAGGGGATAGTTCTAAAATTACGATGTAATGTTGTTCTATATTGTGCAATAAATAATATTTATGCAAAACATATGATACTAATCTTTCTATAAAGCTACAACCCTAACCTTAGCTATTGCCTAAATCACTCTCCTAACCAAGCCCAAAACATCACTCACATAGAAAATATTAAATGCAATTCTATTTTATCCTGATTATGTTTCTCCATGATCCCATATTTGTGTGTCATACAATGTGCACAAACCCTTCACACATAATAAAGACAAGGTAAATTATTTTTGTGATTCAATTTGATCTTAAAATTATTACCCATGATCTTCTCCAAAAGTTTCATGTTGAAAAACAACTTCATTTCTGTTTTTCAGCAAGCCATTATGGTGATCGTAAGTAGATTTTAAAACAAAATCAAGGTCATCATTAGGTGCTGATGGGTCAAAGTGGTAAGCTTCATGCCTGGCTGAAGACAATGTGTGCTGACCACTGAGTCGCTGCCATGGCAACTGTCTTTGAGCAAGATGTGTTGGCACTGGATAGCATATTGTCTATAGTAAAATACAAATTGAAATAATAAAAATAAAAATAACCCACTGTTACAAAATATAGTGACTTTTTACAGTTTAATTACTAGTTGTCTAGTTTGGGATGGCTAGGGCCATCAGATGAGTTTGTTTACCTAACAAAACTATCATTTTCAGATGAGTTTGTTTACCTAACAAAACTATCATTTTCAGATGAGCTTGTTTACCTAACAAAACTATCATTTCTATAGCAGAAATTGTTCCAGTGAGAAGGCCAGAAATATCTGGTCCATTATATTACAAAAAAATACAATTTTTCCCCCCAAAGACCTAATGCAGTATCTCATAGTGTCATACACTACACTCATACATCTGTTTTCTCTGTAAATTGTGCCATTGATGAATCACCCCAAAATGATATAATGGTGTCAAGAAATTAGGGCATGTCACATAAAATATTATTGCTTTAATTGTGGCTAATTGTTGAAAGCTTTAATTTCTCAATAAATCTCATTGCAAAGATAAAGGGGTTTGAGAAGGTATTGGAGACAATTGAAATACTTTAGCAAACAAATATGTTTGGATCGTATATTTAGTTTTTTTTATAATGTACTCTGACTGCAATGAATGGACTCGAATCAAAATTTAGTTCTAATTTAATTTATATAGAATTTTTTTGTGCAAGTCATTATATTTGCTTGATACTGTAACTGATTGATCTAGAATGTAAATGATCTAACACTACAAATTATAAATTATTATACTTTATACCAATGGACACCATAAAAAAAGCTAGAGTATTAAATTATTATTCATTTGTGTTCGGTGTTATTACAATAAATATGATTTATAAGAACTTTTGGGCATTGGCAAAGGCCAAAGGGTAATATACTATAATAATATTTAATAAGTAGGCTATGTAAAAAGTGAGATAGTAAAATTAATTAAACAATTCAACAGTTTTGTTTAATTTTTTTTCAGTGTTCAATGTTGTAAAAAGTAATGGCAATTGAGATTTGAATAATAATACTAGATCTAGGTCTATAAACATACTACTTACTACAACTACATAGTACATAGATCTAGAACATAGTACATAGATTTAGAATAGATCTAGATCTACAAGATAAAATGAATAGGTAATCTATCGTTTTGGGTACGTAAAATGGCCCGCGACTGGTAATGTACAAAAATGTTACCTCAATGTCAAGGCTGTAACAGAAGTATATTGTGATATGTTTGTGTCAAATATTATAGATAAATGAATAATAAACCTAAATCAATGGCTAAATATATCAATATAGGCCAGAAATTAACTTTAAACAGCAGTGTCTGCAAGCAAGATTTGCTATATAAACAGCAGCCATTTGTAAAATAGAGTGACTTCCGCCTGAATCTCGTGCTATAAGTCTATAAAAATAAAACTTTAACAAGATGGCTGCTATAGTAAATGAGCATGGTTGCATCTGTTGGAAACATTGCTGGTGTTCATTTATTACTGAAAAGTTTTAATTCAATTGTTTAAAAACAGGTACATAGATGAAACAAGGAAACATTTTTGTATTTTTCAAAACATAAATCCTCCTCAAAATGTGAAATAATTATCAATATCAATATAGGCCAAAAATTAACTTTAAACAGCAGTGTCTGCAAGCAAGATTTGCTATATAAACAGCAGACATTTGTAAAATAGAGTGACTTCCGCCTGAATCTCGTGCTATAAGTCTATAAAAATAAAACTTTAACAAGATGGCTGTTATAGTAAATGAGCATGGTTGCATCTGTTGGAAACATTGCTGGTGTTCATTTATTACTGAAAAGTTTTAATTCAATTGTTAAAAAACAGGTACATAGATGAAACAAGGAAACATTTTTGTATTTTTCAAAACATAAATCCTCCTCAAAATGTGAAATAATTATTAAAATGTAAGGAGTCACCTGTTTTTCACATTAATAGTCGCGGGCGATTCTACGTACCTAAAACGATAGATTACCAATAAATAAAAAACACTACCTCAGGTTCTCTGCTGCCTCTAAAATCATCATCACTTTGCAATTTAGGAAATGGATATGGATTCCTTGATGACTGTGCCATTGCCATGATTAGTTTGTTATTAATATTTAGTGAGATTTATTATAAGGAAAAAGAAAACAAAAGTGGAGTTTGCCCGGGGCAGGCCTACCATACCAATACCAACGTCTAAAATGAAGAGGAAGTTGAAATAGTGTCCATAGCAACAAGCTATTGCAATCTCGCTACTGGAGATTTAAAATTTGCAGATATTTAATAGGCCTATCCAATATTAGTATTAGTGTTTGATTTTATTAATTACATCTAGACTCTAGTACTTAGGTTTTAATTTTATATTTATTTAAAGTAAAATTTATATCAATTATAATTTAAAATACAAGGGCATTATATTTTTTGACTTTACAGCTGCGAACGTATAATTTAGAAAGTTATTTATAGTAACTGTAGATTTACCCGAAAAGCTGCTGGCTAGGCTGACGACTATGAAATTAATGTCAGGGCTACCACATTGGAACTTTAGTTGTTTTTTTTTCCCCATATAACTATTATAACCTTTGTTTACTTTTTAATAATAAACTATAAGCCCAATATATTTAATTTTTTTAAAAAATAATTAACATGCATTTATGTTGGAGATAAACTTTATAAACTTTATATTAGGCCTAATTTAAAGGCCTTAGGCCTAATTGTTTTTGTATTAAACTAGGCTTATCTATGATATTAAAATATTATTATAGAAATATTTTTAAAGGCTTAAAAAATATATTCAGAAACAGTAGGGGACATCCTTAAATGACTACTCTTTTTCGACGATTTCCCCCCCCCCTAACCATCACACATGACTTCACACCTCAGCCCCCCCCCCCCCTCCACTTTCCCTCTCAAAATTTCAAGTTAAAGAGATGCCTGGAAGAAACTCTGACCCCCCCCCCCCCTTCATCACCCATCGTAATAAAATTACTAGCCCCACTCTCCCTACGAGTAAAACGACTCCTAACATAGAATTTGATGCAGTTAAAAAATTTAGGCACATTTTAATATTATTACATTCGAGCCGGCCCGCGGCATAACATACGCCGCTATTTAGTTGTTGTTTTTTCTACTTTTCAGTAATTCATAATTTGTGAATTCGACAGTACCAACGCTGCCACTGTAAATATTTCTTTAAAACGCTATAATTTTAAGTAGCTCGTTAAGGACCATACCCCCCCCCCCCCACCTTCCTTCCCCCCCCCCCCCCCTACGTTTAAAATCGTTGGCTCTGCTTTTCAACATTTAGAGTGAACACAGCTCACTAAAACCATGTAGGGGTGGGGAGGTAGGGAGCGCGTTTGCAGCTTGTTTTCTAGCGGCTCCCAGATGAGAATTATATATATAGATTATTGTTATTTACCATTCACTTTTCTTTTTCACGCTATCAAATTATGTACTGAATTTTAAGTTGGTTTTTAAAACACTTCTTATGGATCATTCATAAGTGATGTCACATTGTTATAAAGGTCTTACATTTTTATTTTTAATAGCTGATGAGTTTGTGCATTTATTTTTCATTTTAAAAGACTTATGTAAATTGTATTCAATAAAATGTTCACCTAATCCTAACACATAATAAAAATAAAATAAAAAACGATTGCAATTCATGGAGGGGGTATATTGAAGTGTGATGTCAATTTATGACGGAGATGTAAATAAAAACGTGACTCCATTTATGGACTAGTTATGACCTAAGTAATTAGGTAAACTTTATATTAGTCATATGCTAAATAACAGTAAACCTATAGCCCCCCCCCCCCTCACAAAGAACAAAAAGACCCACAATAACGTCATATCTTTATGAATGAAGCGTGTAGGTCTAATTGTTTTTAAGTAAAGCAATTAATTTAAGGATTGGTGTTTACCGTTTATGTAGTTTAACTACTAGACTATAATGTAAAGCTACTTTGTTTATATATATATATATATATATATATATATGTATATATATATATATATATATATATATATATAAGTTTTTGGGCTTTATCGTTGCAATATTTAGCTATAAATAAATTTATAGGCCTAGTATAAAGTATATATTGATTAGAATATATTGAATTATGTCTATGTTGATTTAACTATGTGCAATAATTATACCATATAGATCAGCAACATTTCAATATTCTGATCTGGTCACTTTTCACTTTAGCAGAAGTGAGTACCAATGAACCTTGTTTCATTTATAGATCTAGAATCTAGTATTGCGCTCACGCACCATCTGTCAACTTAAACGCTGTTGGATATTAGTAATTTACTCATTTGTTTTTTGTGGGCTTTAAGCAATGTTTTTAATTATAATTATTATCTCTCTAGCTGGAAAATTCGAAAATCCTAGTCTTCAAATATAAAAAAGTAAGGCCCTAGGCCGGCTAGGCTAGCGCGGCCTAATGCAAAAATTATTTTAAATTTTTAGGCCTAGATCTAGATTAATATTATTGTACAAAAATTCTAGACTAGATCTAGTCTAGATCTATATTTTTTCTAGATCTAGAATCTAGATTTAGTCAGAAATTATCCTGTAGCTAGGCATTCCGACTTCCGCTGTTTCGATTCGGTATTCAACATCCGGACTTTTCGATGCAGTCTTTATAAAAACTCGCCCTTTTCCGAAGAATGCCGAATCTCACTGTTGGAATCGAGTTTTTAGAAATATTCGATATAGATATTCTAGTGTAGTCGTATTATATGTTTCAATTAGAAAATTACCGCCATTATGACAATCTTTAAGCCGAAATCGATCGCACGATTCTAATGAGTTTATCTCGCGAACATGTCCCGTACGGTGCTGTCACATTTTAAATAAGTTTACGTATTAAACCCTTTATAAGTGTCTTGCCATTAGTTGTAAGTGTCCATTAAATAAACAAATATTATTATAATAACGGTTTTATGGCACTTACTACTTCTGCTTACGAGTTATCATACATGTCAAATCCCCGAGCTAGCGCTTCGGCCTTGACAACGCCATGGCGTCGGTTTAGCACCGCATTACCTATTATCGATAAAATACGCGCACTAATGCCAATGACGTAGTTTTCGAAGTTGGAAAGAATTTAAATTGTGGGTGGCATTGTTAAAACTAGATAAAATACGTTGATCAAGTTATCTATTAAAACCGACAGGCAAGAAGCTTAGTCTTACATTAAATAGTGTTAAGCATTTCACACATACCTACTTACTTAGATTTAAGGCTAATACTAATAGCCTTTAATTTACTATTATATACTATTATACTTTATACTATAAATAAGTTATAGGCCTATTTCTTAGTATAACTAATGCTATATGGCAGGAAACAGATTAGTACCGGAAAATGCATATTCGATCTTCGCCGTTCATAAACTTTCTAACCAGACATCGTTCGGGGATTTTGTTTATACTGATAAATAGAGCTATGTTTTTACAAGCTTCGTTAGCAACATTTTTGTGGAATACGTTTTTTATGACATTTTGTGCCGCGGCGAAGGATGCGAAGTATGCAAATCTGGACGGAATGGATCTACTTGGAAAAGTACGTGTACTGCACTAATAAGGTAAGAAATACTATTTTGTAAAAATAACTATTATTTTTATGGATTTTTCATTAGAAATGGTTGCTGTAAATTATGAAAGTAAAAAAAAGTATATTTGAATGTGTTTTTTACTTTAATTTGAACAAAGTGAATGGCCATAATTACGACACATCGGCGTCGTTGAAAGCGGGGATTTCAGTTAATTTTTTACGGATATAAAATTGTATTTTTTTCCTCCGAGGCATGTACTTAAATAACAGTTTAGTTAAATGTATTTAATTCTGTAAAATATAAGTATTATTTTGCCGTAGATACTTAAAAAAAAATTTTTTATGATTTTCTGTCGGGGAAAATCGATATTCGCACCATGCACGCACGCGTAGTAAAACTAGACTTATCTTTAAAACACGAGAATCTTGAGTAGACTGCGAATAACAAAGTTTTTAAATTTTAGTTTACTTTTGACTTTAAGCCATTTGTTTTAAATCGAAATTAATTGATAATGTAATTATTTCAAAGTAAAAATTTTCCGTCTGATTGGGTTCTAATCTTCGCCCACTGAACCAGCTTACGCACGACATTCGCGCGAGTCTGTTTCTTCGCAATAGTCTGTATAGTGTCGAGGGCTAATTCTAAAAAGAATCGAGTCCTTACTAATCCAATGTTTATTAAAATTAGGTACAATTGTTGGAACGCATGAGAAATAACAAATTAATATTTCTTTAAATCTATAGCCAAAAGAAAGTAGAACTTTATAACTCTGTAAATTATGAATCGAGTGACGGCTGTCGTGAAAACGGGAGCCATTTTACTCTTTTTTTTAGGGTGACCTACTTTTATTATATAATTTTAAAATTCATCGATTTGATAAGCAGCTGAGTAGCTGACTACGCATGCGATATGGCTGGCACGTTTTGGGATAGGGATCGAGTACACCATAGTATTTTTTTTTCTTAGAACTAAGCGTATTTTTTTTTAAATCAAAAGATACTTACATATCAGTTGTTGATTTCAATTTCATTATAGATCTAATCACTAACTTCAGTTTTTAAAAGTGATTTTGCATCTAGATCTAGCGTATTTTCAAAATTACGTAAATCTAGATCTATTTTTTAGATCTAGATCTAGATCTACTTACTATTTGACAACCGTGTCAGTAAAATGAGGTCAGCGCTTCCAGATTCTTGGGTTTTAATTATGTTTGTCATTTTGATCTATTATAAGTAGCATTAAAACAACTGCATCTATTATCAACATTGTTTTTATATGCCAGTTCTAATTATACATTCTGTTCATTACCAATTCTAATGAAATCGTATCAGGCCCTAACACCCTGTTCACCTACACTCCTACACTGACACTACACTTGAAAGACGCCACAGAGAGTCGTAACTTTAAAATTTAAATTAATGTTTAAAGTACTAAACAATTATAATTAGCCATGTAAATGCTGCAACTATATTAAAAATTGGCATATAGACATATTTTATTAATTATGTTTTTTATATAGACCTTCTATATTTAACTCTGTTATTTTTTTCTTCCCCAGAGTGTTTCTAAAAGCCAGAATTTTAAAGGGGAGGGCGGTCGTTTTTTTTCTCAAGAATAATTATAGAAATAAGCTATAAACTGGTATATTTTGTAAAGGTTGACACATTTACAAATAAATTTATGCCTAAGTGACATTTCTGTGTAATTATATTGTTAATTTTGTGAATTTCGTGGATTTTTAGACCTCACTACATTTAGATGTAAAAAAAAATCTCAGTTGAGTGAGTGTGGTTAATCTACATTTTGAACGTGATGTAAATGTCTAGTGCTATTAATTTTTATATTTTTGAATTCCTCGATTGTTAAGCAACAAAATTGATATATAATATGTCAATAATTGTTACTTTGAAAATTGGCGAAAATCGACCCTAAAAGTAGATGCTTGAGGGTTGAATCTGTTTCCTGCCATATACTATATGTATCGATTGATAATGTAAGTCTGGGCCTATTATTGGTTATGATAAGTAAAGAAGCTTGGTGATAAACTTATTTAATTATTTGTAATAATTATGCTTATGACATTAGTAAATAATTAACAAAAGGTGCAGCAATTGACATGGGGGGGGGGGGGTACTAATTAATAAGGCAGTGAATTTAGAATGACATGAAAAAGGCATGATAATTATTATTCATAATAATTTAGGATAAAATTTTTACATTTAGTAATAAAAAGTAACAAAAAACAAATAACAACAAACAATACGGATTTAAATCACTGCATGTTGCCAATATATATATATTCATATAAGCAGATAGACAGGGAAGCTGTAACTTCTGATTTGGTACAAATTAACACTTAGCTTAATAAACTTTTACAAGAATTTAAGGTTTTTCTATTGATTAGTAATTTAGTTGTACCAAAATATCAATAGGGTCTTATAAAGGCCCTAGTATATTAAAGTAGTTTCCCTTTTGGACCTGTCAATCCATCATCCATAAAGCAGCTGAAGTAGAGTTTATCTGTTTCTTGACCCATGCACATGAAGTGATGGTGTGGTTAGCTCTCTGCCAAGCTATCTTTACTTTCCCTTGGGTCAGGTACTCATCTGAGCTTGGTGGATGCTGCACGCTGCACAGACAGACTCGTCTGAGATCTGAGCTCAAGACTTGCATGTTAGTAGTTGAGTGCTTTAACACACCATCCCTAGCTTTATTTTTCAGCATTCTTCTTATTACATGCTTCAGTATCAATAACCAAAATGTATCCTATCTATTATAGTAACATTCTGGACATACGTCCGTTGCAGTCACTATAATTACTATAAAAGGGTGCAACACCCTTTCATAGGACTTTTTAATTATATGCAGTCATACTTAATATAATTTTTTTCTATATTTCTATTGCCCCCACCCTCTAGCAAAGTTTCAATTTTAATATTAAAAAAAAAAAAAAAAAAAAAAAAACATAGACTTTCAGTCTGCATATTGACCTATATAGAACAGCACCCCTCACTTTAATTTGACTTGATTAGTTCTAATTATCCTTCATCAAATTTTGATTTTACTTTCATATTTCTATTCCCCACACTCTCTAGCACTAATGTGCAAAGTTTTATAATTATATCTCGAATAGCAGCAGTGGTATGCAAGCCTAAAGCCAATCACACAATTAAATCCGATGTTACAGTGATATATAACAGGTTTAATACATAACTTTAAAAATTCATATAAAAAAAACTATTAGGCCTAGAATGATAAATTTGGTATTTTTATCAATGGGGTATATTATAGGATTAATCTGTGTACATTTTATCATTCTATGGTAATTAGGAAAAATATCCCAACATTCCTATCCTGTAGCCTAATGTAAAATGTTTGTTGAGTTTCATAAACATAAAGTAAAGTCATAAGTTGGTAAACCTTTGGTTATTTCAAATTTGACCATTGAAATATTATTAAAGTCGATTGTAGTAAGTAAATTGTATAAAATTAGGCCTAATGTTTTAATTTTTAAAATCGAAAAAGAAAACAGGAATAAATATAATAGTGGATTTAAATTAGTAGGCCTACATCTAAACATTAAAGTTCCCTTTTCAAACCTGAAACTGAAATAGAGTTCACTTGTTTCTGTGACCTCGGCATATGAAGAGA